TCAGAAGTTAGAGGCCAGCCCAGGAAACATAGGGAGACCCCTGTCTACCAAAAAATGAAAAAGTTAGCTAGGCATAGTGGCATGTGCCTGTGGTCCCAGCTACTGGGGAGGCTGAGGAGGGAGGATCATTTGAGACCACAAGGTTGAGGCTGCAGTGAGCTATGATTTCACAATGTACTCTAGCCTAGGTGACAGAGAGAGACCCTGTCTTTAAAAACAAACCAACAGAAAGTTTCTCTAGCCCCAAACCACACCCACCTGACCCAACTGAGCTGTGGCCCACACCCCTCATGTCCTGAGAAATGAATTAACCTCTCTTCTTCACCTCCTGGTGGCAAGAGGGGCAGACACACCGAGCCTATGGGGGGAACCTCATAGAGAGAATCCAGGCGGGGGGGTCCTGAAAAATGGCAAAGCCCAGGGGCCAGGTGGCTGGTCCCCAGCCAGGCAGTAAATTGCTGTTATTTACTGCCACCGAGGTGGGAAGGGCGGGTCCTGTGGGCAGGAGAGGCCAGTGGTTCTGAAAGGGCTGCTTGCCACACCTTAGAGATGGGTGGGAGCAACTCTGAGGTCCCCTGAGCCAAACTCCTAAAACACGTGGGGTGCAGAAAGGGAGGGCAGAGGGAGATCTGACGAATCCTGCCCTGCAGAAAGAACGTGACAGAGAGCCCCAGCTTCTCAGCTGGGGACAATCCTCCCGTCCTGTTCAGCAGCGACTTCCGCATCTCTGGGGCACCAGAGAAGTATGAGGTAAGGACCAGAGCTGTGCGGCTCCAGGCGGCCTAGGAACCCGGATGCCAGGGACACCAAGGGCCTGGGAAGGGCCTGTGAGGCCAAGGGGCAGGGGAGTGGGGCAGCCTCTCAGAGGAGGAGAGGGGAAAATTCCAGGGCTGGGTTGGATCTGGAGGCTGGGGAGGAGGTGCCCAGGCTGAAGCTGTGTAGAGGGCGATGAGGCGTGGGGCCCAAGGGCCCCCTTACCCTGCCTCACTGCCTGTGTCTGTGACTGCATTTCCTTCTCCAATAGTCCAAAGAGGTCTCTACCCTGGAATCTCACTGAGCGCCCCAGGAGGTAGGTTCCGGGGGCCTCAGTGTGCCCTCCTCTGGGCCCTCCTTGGGCCCTGGGGTTGGCATGCATGTGCGTGTGTCCCTGTCAGGCGTCAAGGTGGTCTCTGGTGAAATCCCGGCCTGCCTGGCAGTGCTGGCCTCGTCTAGTCTGTCCTGTTGCAGCTCCTGTCTGTCTGTGGCCACCATTCTGTGTGTCCAAATTCCTGTGGCTAGGGGGTGGAGGGAGGGGTGGGAAGCATGAGGGGAACCCACATGTCACCTGCAGGACCTCCCAGATTGAGGGGGTCCCCATGTCAGGTCCAAACATGGGGGAGCATGTACCGAACCAGGTATCTCCAGAAATATGGAAAGGTGGGGTCCCAGCCAGGCGGCTTTCACCTGGGAAGGCGTTAGGGGTTAAATTGTGTGCCCCTCAAACTCCTATGTTGAAAGCTTCCTGGCTAGGTGCAGTGGCTCACGCCTGTAATCCCAGAACTTTAGGAGGCCAAGGCCAGATCTCTTGAGATCAGGAGTTCGAGACCAGCCTGGCCAACATGGTGAAACCCCGTCTCTACCAAAAATACAAAAAATTAGCCAGGTGTGGTGGCAGGCGCCCGTAATCCCATCTACTCTGGAGGCTGAGACAGGAGAATTGCTCGAACTCGGGAGGTGGAGGTTGCAATCCAGCCTGGGTCTCAAAAAAAGAAAGGAAGAAAAGAAAAAAAGAAAGAAGAAAGCTTCCTGGAGAAACTGAATTTGTAGGCAGATTTTAAGCTCAGCGATGATTAACACTGGCAGAAGCTCCAGAGTGGGACCCAGTGACCAGGGGCATCGCTGGGCCTGTGATCCTTGAGGAAGGAGGTTCACGCAGGGATTTATTTGGGACTGAACTCAGGAGCTCTGAGGGTGCAAACACTCTGGCCTCTGTGTCCGGAAAAGGCAGGGAGGAGGACCCTGCTAATGGGTGGTTTCCCCTCCTAGAGCGAGAGGCGCCTGGGATCTGAGAGGAGGCTGCTGGGCCTTCGGGGCGAACCCCCAGAGCTGGACCTGAGCTATTCCCACTCGGACCTGGGGAAACGGCCCACCAAGGACAGCTACACGCTGACAGAGGAGCTGGCTGAGTATGCTGAAATCCGGGTCAAGTGAAGGAGCTGGGGGCAGCCCGTGTGGCTGACCCCCCCTCAGGACCCTCGCTGGCCCCCACTGGCTGCGGGCTCCCTTCCTCCCAAAAGTATCAGGGGCTTGGGCAGGAGGGAAATGAGGCAGGTGACAGTGAGGTCCTGGGGGCCTGACCTCCCCCTCCTTCCCAGCTGCTGCTCCCTGCCAACATACCCATGCCCTCATTATGGCTCCTCTCTAACCTCCTTTACCCTCATCTGTCTGGAGGGGAGCTCTGTCTGTCCGTGTTATTTATTGCTACTTCCTGCCTGGTCTCCTGTCCCCACACCTGGCCCGGGGCCTGTACAAAAGGGACGTGAAATAAATGCCCCGAAGCCGAATGCCAGTCTAGATCCTGATGCTCTCTGACCCGTCTTTGGGCAGCCTGCCATCCCACCGTCTCCCAAACCATCACAGAGTTTCTCCTTGCCCTCGACTGAGCCCTGTGTACAGACAAGGACCCAGGGATATTAGCCTTGAACCCAGGACCAATGGCCATTCAGTTGCTCCCACTCTGAGCTGGTAGCTTCAGGCTGGGTCTGGGTTGACTTCTGGGTAATTTCACATAAAAATCTTCATGCTGGTTTCTGCCACAGTCAGATCAGCTGACACCACTGGGCTTGCACTCGTATGTGGCCACAACTTGCTGAAAGGGAGGGTCCTATGCATTGGCTGCAGTCCCCACCACTCCCTATTGTCCCACACCTGGCCGGCTTCCCTCACTGATGTTACCTCCTGGTCCCTGCAGCTTGGAGTGCAAGCCACAGATCTAGGTCTCTCCAGCCCATGTCGGTTTCACCACCATCTCTCACATTCATGCTGCAATTTGCAGCATCAGCCTTTACACATGACTACATTCAGTTCAAGAAACATTAATTAAGCACCAGCTGTGTACTGAGCACTTTCCAGAGGCTCAGGCTATCCTGAGAAGGGACTCCTAGGGCAACCCTGTGACGATGAGAACACTGAGACTTAGAGAAGTTAGGTGATTTTCCCTGGGTCCCAGAACTTGGAAATGGCGTGGCCAGGTCCTGGACTGGATTCTTCTGATTCAAATGTACCCTTTCCTTCCTTCCCCTTCCCCTTCCCTTTCCCCTTCCCCTTCCCTTTCTCTTTTCATTTCCCTCCCCTCCCCTCCCCTCCTCTTCCCTCCCCTTCCCTTCCTTCCCCTCCCTTTCCCTTCCCTTCCTTTCGTTTCCTCTTTTTGATGGCGTCTCACTCTATCACCCAGACTGGAGTGCCGTGGTGCAATCTCGGCTCACTGCAACCTCCACCTCCCAGGTTCAAGCGATTCTCCTGCCTCAGCCTCCTGAGTAGCTGGATCACAGGCACCTGCCACCATGCCTGGCTAATTTTTGTATCAAATGTACTTTTTGTATAATATCTGTCAGGAGGTTAAAAAGGGCCAGAGTGTCTAATATAAACGGATTAGTAACTAACAGTTGTTGAACGCTTTCTATGATTCTACCTAGTTTATATTAATTCATCTCATTAACCTATTTACTTTCCCTAACAATGATGAACATGGTTCTCAAAGTGTGATCCCTAGGCGGCAGCAGCAGCAGCACCCGGGAACTTGCTAGAAACTCCAATTTTCAGATTCCACCCCAGACTTCAGTAATCAAAAACCCTGGGGTGGGGCCCAGGAATCTGTTTTGAGAAGTCCTTGGTGGATTCTGATGTATGTGGACGTTTGTGAACAAGCAGCTGAAGCACAGGGAAGTTACATTTCTCCCACAGTCCCCAGCTATTAGCAGTGGAGCCCAGATTTGAGCCCCAACCACTGGCTCCAGAGGCCATGCTCTGGTGCTGTGCTACACAGCCATCTTGGTGAGAAACAGCAGCAGCTCCCAGAGCCTGGGAGCTGGAGGAGCAGGAAAATTAAGCTGTGGGCTGTGGGCAGTGAGGGCAGGGTTTCCCAGGTGACAGCGCTCCTTGAGTGTTTTTTTTTTTTTTTTTTTAAGATGGAGTCTCACTCTGTCACCCAGTCTGGAGTGCAGTGGCACAATCCTGGCTCACTGCAACCTCCACCTCCCAGGTTTAAGCGATTCTCCTGCCTCAGCCTCCCGAGTAGCTGGGACTACAGGCATGCGCCACCACGCCTAGCTAATTTTTCTATTTTTAGTAGACGGGGTTTCACCATGTTGGCCAGGCTGGTCTGGAACTCCTGACCTCAAGTGATCCACCTGCCTTGGCCGAAAGTGCTGTGATTACAGGTGTGATCCACCGCACCTGGCCTCTCCCTGGGTTTGGAAGAAGGCAGAGGACACAGCACAGAGACCAAAATAAAGGCCTAGACGCAGGAATAAACAAACCAGGTCAGGAGGGGAGGTGACGTGGGGCTGCTTGGCTGGAACAGAAGTCCACATGCAGGAGGAAAGGAGACCTGCGGGGGCCGGGCTGTGGGCAGTGGGAAGGGAGGCCTCTGTGGGGCCTGTCCAAGCCAGGGGGTGCATGCCCTTTCCTCATGGGGCTCACAGTCTTACAGGAAGAAGGACATGAAAGAATCTCAGGCACAATATCAAATTGCAACTGTGACACCTGCTCCCAAGGAGAAGCTCAGGGTCTTTACAGCAGGAGTCCGCAGCACAGGCCCTTGGACTGATCCTAGTCTGTAGCCTGTTAGGGAGTGGGCTGTGCAGCAGGTGAGCGCCAGCGAGCAAGCACGACTGCCTGAGCTCCGCCTCCTGTCAGCTCAGCAGCGGCATTCATCCTCATAGCAGCCCGATGCCTATCGCGAACTGTGCACGTGAGGGATCTAGGCTGTGCGCTCACTGATCACGCCTGATGATCGGCCACTGTCTCCCATCACCCCCGGATGGGACCATCTAGTTGCAGGGAAACAAGCTCAGGGCTCCCACTGATTCTACATGATGGTGAGTTGTATACTGATTTCATTATATATCACAATGTAATAATAATAGAAATAAAGTGCACAATACATGTAATGTGATTGAATTATCCCCAACTCCCTCCCTGCTCCCAGGTCCATGGAAAAATTGTCTTCCATGAAACTGGTCCCTGGTGCCAAAAAGGTTGGGGACCACTGTTTGATAGCATAGAATCTAAGTATGACTTAGGGTCTCGGGGCACAGGCGGATTCCCTGTGGAAGGAAACTCACACCTGTGTGAAGGCCCCAAGGAGGACGATGTTTAGCAAAATTCCAGGAACTGAAGGAAAGCCAGAAAGGCAGGAGATGGGGCTGGGGATACACAGGGGCCGCTCAGCAGCCAGAAGGGAAGCCTCTTCCAGGTCCCCTGCATACTGGCTCACCCGCCCTGCCCCAACACACCTGTCCCCTGACGACAGACCCTGGCTCCAGCAGGTCTGGCCTGGGAGGACTTCGCCCAGAGGCGCAGAACATTGTCAATAACCAGGGATGGGGGAGTCACCCCACACTGCCCAAAGAGCAGCCTGGACACCCCGGCGTGTGGAGCTGCTGTGACGCTACTATACATGCTTCATTTAGTATGCGCCAGAGCAGGAGGAAACCAGAATGCCAAACTGGCTTCGGATGAGGCCAAGTCAAAATAAATAAACAAATAAAAGCATCAATCAACCGAATTGATTTTTAAAATGTATTAAATAACATGTTGCATGTGGCTAATAGACAGGACAAACATCCTGAAGGTGGTTGGCAAACCTCTAAAGTTTGGGAAATGATGAGGGAATTTGACACAAAGACCATCCTTAGGAGGACTGACATTCAACCATGGCGAACGTGTGGGACCGAGGGCTGGGGGCGGTGCCTCCTGCCTGTAATCCCAGCACTTTGGGAGGCTGAGGCTGGCGGATAGCTTCAGCCCATGAGTTCAGCCTCAGCAACACAGCGAGACCCAGTCTCTACAAAAAAATACAAAAATTAGGCGGACATGATGGCATGTGCCTGTAGTCCCATCTACTCGGGAGGCTGAGGTGGCAGGATCGTTTGAGCCCAGGAGGTGGAGTTTTCAGTGAGCTGAGATTGCACCTTTGCACTCCATCCTGGGCGACAGAGTGAGACCCCGTCTCAAGACAACAGCAAGGACCTGAACTCAGGTTCCCTCAGACTTTCCCCACCCAGCTCCTGGACCCACCAGAATTCAACGTGTGCTCACTGAGCACCTCTATGTGCCAGGCCTATGCCGGGCCCCAGAGACACAGCAGTGCCCAAAAGTAATCACCCTCTGACCTTCCAGAGCTGGCATTCTGCGGAAGAGATAGACAACGATCAGAAAGGCAACCAAACATGTGACCACAGATCGGATAGTGAAGGAACCACAGCGAATGCAAGGTCGGGCAGTGCTGGGTCAGGCTGCCATTTCAGAAAGAGAAGTCACTTGAGCTGAGAATGGAAGGAAGTAAGAGAGGGAACTCTGTGGGTTCCTGGGGAATGCGGGTCCAGGGAGACCAAAATCAAGTGCAAAGGCCCCTGGTGAGAATGTACTTGTTACGTTCATGGAACAAGAAGGAAAGAAGCATGTCTGAGTGGAGTGATGGAGCCAGAGTAGCAGCCCACAGAAGCTCAAGTGCAGAGGGCCTTGTAGGCCGTAGGCAGGACTGGACCGTTTTGTTTGTTTTGAGACAGAGTCTTGCTCTGTGGTCCAGGCTGGGGTGCAGTTGCACAGTCTCAGCTCACTGCAGCCTCCGCCTCCCGGGTTCAGCCTCTGCCTCCCGGGTTCAAGCGGTTCAAGCACGCACCATCACCCTGGCTAATTTTTGTATTTTTAGTAGAGATGGGGTTTCTCCATGTTGGCCAGGCTGGTCTTGAACTCCTAACCTGAGGTGACCCACCTGCCTCAGCCTCCCAAAGTGCTGGGATTACATGTGTGAGCCACCCTGCCCAGCAATGGAATTTAATCCTAGTATTTTATTTTTTATTATTTTTTGAGATGGAGATTTGCTCTGTCACTCAGGCTAGCCTCCTGGGTTCAAGCAATTCTCCTGCCACAGCCTTCTGAGTAGCTGGGGTTACAGGCGCCTGCCACCACCACGCCCAGATAATTTTTGTATTTTAGTAGAGACAGGAATTCACCATGTTGGCCAGGTCGATCTCGAACTCCTGAGCTCAAGTGATCTGCCAGCCTCGGCCTGCCAAAGTGCTGGGATTACGGGCATAAACCACCTTGCCCAGCTGGGATTTGGACTTTCAAAGAGCACATTGAGAAATCGCTGACGGAGTGAGCTCGGAGGGGTGTGATGGGGGGCTTGAGGCTTCAGAGGCCAGCTGGCAGCTGTGTGGATGGTGAGCACAGGCCATCAGTGGAGACACGGACTGGGCTTGGGAGGCCCTGGCCATTCTCCAAGAGAGGAAGTAGAGATGGAGAGAGTGGTGGGGTCAGGACCCATTTTGGTGGAGGAACTGACAGGACTCATCTGAGGAGTCAAATGTGACTCCAGACACTTCGTTAAGAGGTCAAAGAAAGCAGGAGGGACCGGTTCGGTGGAGAAAGCAAGCGTGATCTACTCCGGCCAAGTTCAGGCCTGGGGAGGCCAAGCCAAGGAAATGTCAGAGCACATAACAGTTTAATCCTAGTGTTTTTTTTTTTTTTTTCTTTTTTGAGACGGAATCTCGCCCTGTCACCCAGGCTAGCGCCTAGTGCCACAATCTCAGCTCATTGCAACCTCCATCTCCTGGGTTCAAGTGATTCTCCTGCTTCAGCCTCCCAAGTAGCTGGGAGTACAGATGTGCACCACCATGCCCAGCTGATTTTTGTATTTTACTAGAGACAGGGTTTCACCATGTTGTCCAGGCTGGTCTCGAACTCCTGACCTCAAGTGATCTGCCAGCCTCCGCCTTCCAAAGTGCTGGGATTACAGGTGTGAACCACCTGCTGCTGACTCAGAGAGATGGGGGCAGACGCTGAGATGATGTCTGCCAGGGCAGGAAGGGAGGTGAGAAGGTCTCATGTGCCAGGAGGGCTGGGCCACCATGTGTGGGAGGGAGGACACCCAGGCACCAGGCCATGGTCATGACACGGGCCTCTTTGTCCCTCCTGGTCTGCCAACCTCCTTAGTCACTCCTGATGGAGATGACCCATCTGTCCCTGGCCTGCCTCCCACCCTGTCCCTGGGACGGTGCCTGGGGCAGGAGGCTCCATTATCCTACTTGATGAAAGATCTTCCACCCAGCACTGGCCACTCCAGAGCCTCTTCCCGGGGTGGCTGATGATGCATGGCCCAGCTCTTGCGACAGGCCAGGGGTGGAGATGCACTGCACTGCTGAGAAGTGCTTTCTAGGAGTTCAAAACCAGGCAACCGAGCAAGACATTGTATGTAGGAAAAAAATGTTTAAAAATAAGCTGGGCACAGTGGCTGCTGGAAACAGATGCTGGGTGCCGCAAAGAAAAGTCAGTACTGAGACAAAGGATCTCTCAGCAAAACAATGTTTACTTTTTTACTTCCTGTATGGCAGGAAGGGGACCCTTGCTAGCCATCTTGCCACGAGAGTATAACGAACAAAGGAAAAGCAGACATGTTTATCCCTTCGCATTTGGGGTCGTCCTTACTGCTGTGTCTGATCTCGGTTTGCTGGAGCCAGACCTCACAATTTAAACTAAAACTCAACTGGCTACTAACTTACAGCTTCTCTAAACAGGTAAAAGCAATGGAGAGCTGGGACATGCCTGTGAGCACGTCCAGCACAGATACCTTGGTTAAAGTATAGGCACATAGAATGTACTACGTGCCTGTAAGCATGGCATCTCCAACAGCTGCGTAAGATAGGGCTTAACAAAGAGTTATTAGCATACTTATGGTTTATTGTTTAACAAGAAGGAAAACTTTAAAGAGGAACTTTCCTACTTCCCACAGTGGTGCATGCCTGTAGTCCCAGCTGCTCGGGAGGCTAAGGCAGGAGGACGGCCTGAGCCCAGGAGTTTGAGTCTGCAGTGAGCTGTGATTGTACTCCAGCCTGGGAAACAGAGTAAGACTCAGTCACTAAAAAAGGCTGAGTGAGGTGTCTCATGTCTGTAATCCCAGCACTTTGGGAGGCCAAGGCGGGCAGATCACCTGAGGTCAGGAGCTCGAGACCAGCTTGGCCAACATGGCAAAACCCCTTCTTTACTAAAAATACAAAAATTAGCCAGGTGCGGTGGTGCACACCTGTAGTTCCAGCTACTTGGAAGGCTGAGGCAGGAGAATCACTTGAACTCAGGAGGAGGAGGTCGCAGTGAGCCTAGATTGTACCATTACACTCCAGCCTGGGCAACAGAGTCAGACTCCATTTCAAATAAATAAATAAGAGAAGAAAAAGAAAAAAAGGAGAAGGAAATAGCCAAGCCTCTTTCTTTCTCCACTCGTCTTGCTCTCAACTCCAGGCTGCTCCTTAAACAGGAGGTGACAACCTCCCTCACAAATTAAAAAAAAATTTCTTTTAATTTTGAAATAATTATCACAGGAAGTTGCAAAGTTAGAACAGGGAAGTCTGGCAGCAGCTGGGCTGAACACCGCTTCCCACCCTAGAGCTGGGTCTGCCTGGGGAGCGGGGAGGAAATGACAGTTGTCCCAAAGGGCCTCGCTGTGAAGCTCAGGCTGGGGCTGAGTAGCCAGAGGTGTGTGATTGAATGTCTCCAGGGAGTGCTGGGTCAGCAGGGCACATGACAATGTGTGGAATAATGACAGCTCACTTTTATGGAAAGCCAGTTCCAAAGCAGCCACCGTGCAAAGTGCCGTAGGGGCTGGGGACCTGTCACAGCACAGCCCTGACGTCGTAGCAGCAATCTTATTACCACCCTGGAAGGGGAAACTGAGGCAATGTCACAGCGGATTCACGGCAGAACTGGGACTGGAACCCAGGTCACTTTACTGCATGCTTGTCGTGGGATGTGCGGGTTGCTGAGTGTATCACGTGTGTGTCGCTAGCCCTGTGAGGAAGCCACTATCGTTGTTCTCGTCTTATTACAGTCCTGGGCAGAGGTCAGGGGCGAGGGGGACACAGCCAGGCTGGGCGTGGCCACCCAGGGCTCACAGGGACTCTGTTAGTTGCCTGGTTTCACTGCTTCTCTGGCAAGGGGCTGACAGTCAAGTCACCAAAAAAGGAGACCAATGACCTGTTTGGAGAAAAGGGCGAAGGAAAAGGGAAAGCGCAGAGGCTGCGTTCTCAGGGGTCCTGCTCCTCCTCCCTTGTCTTCTCCATGCAGCCCTTGGCCTCTGAAATCAAGACACATCCACAAGCCCGTGGTCCAATCTCCTCCTGTTACAAGACTATGAGCCAGGCCTGGCGCTGTGGACTGCAGAAACCTCAGCTTCTCCTCCTAGGTGAGGAGCAGGGATTCAAGTCCCAAAGGGTCCCCTGCCTGATACCTTTGGGGCCTGGTCACCTGGCCTGGAGTCCCACATTGAGATTGCTGGGATTAAAAAAAAATTATGGCTAGGTGCTGTGACTTGTGCCTGTAATTCTAGCATCTTGGAAGCCTGACGCAGCGGATCGCTTGAGGCCAGGAGTTCGAGACCAGAATGGGCAATGTAGAGAATCCCCAACTCAACAAAAAATAAAAACTAAATTAGCTGGGTGGTGCCTGTAGTTGTAGTTACTCGGGTGGCTGAGGATCACTTGAGCCCACCTCCAGTTCGAGGCTGCAAAGAAAAAAAATTTTTTTTAATTTTATTTTGAAATAAGTATAGATTCGCAGAAAGTTGCAAAGATAGAACAGAGAAGTCTGGTGTGTTCTTCACCCAGCGTGCCCTGATGGTTACTTTTTAAATCATTCGGGTCAATATCAAAACCAGGAATCTGACATCGGTATGATGTGTGTGTACAGTTCTATGCCATTCTATCACATCTAGATGAATATAACCACCACTGCAATCCAGATACAGAATTATTCTGTTACTACAAAGACCTCCCTCATGCTATGTGCCCTTCAGTCATACACTTTTCCCACCATCCCTAACCCCTGGCAACTTTTCATCTTCTCCACCTCTATCATTTTGTTATTTCAAAAATGTTACGACCAGGCGCGGTGGCTCACACCTGTAATCCCAGAGAGCAGGTGGATCACTTGAAGTCAAGAGTTCGAGACCAGCCTGGCCAACATGGTGAAACCCTGTCTCTACTAAAATACAAAAATTAGCCGGGCCTGGTGGTGGCAGGTGCCTGTAATCCCAGCTATTAAGAAGCTGAAGCAGGAGAATCATTTGGACCTGGGAGGCAGAGGTTGCAGCGAGTTGAGATCCTGCAACGGCACTCCAGCCTGAGCAATAGGGCGAAACTCCATCTCAAAAAACAAACAAAAAGAATGTTACAACACATGTGATCCTTGGAGACTGTTTGTTTTCACTTTCTGTACCGCTTTTCAGAATTCCCCAGGTTGTTGCCCGTCTCCTATTCACACCTCACTCCTTTCTATTGCTGCGTGGTACTCCATGGCATGGATGTATCATAATCACAATCTCATGGATGAGCGACTCACCTGTCGAAGGAGGCATTGGATGTTTCCAGTTTTGTTTTTTTTTTTTGTTTTGTTTCTTTTTGAGACAGAGTCTCGCTCTTGTTGCCCAGGCTAGAATGCAATGGTGCAATCTCAGCTCACCGCAACCTCCACCTCCCAAGTTCAAGCAGTTCTCCTGCCTTAGCCTCCCGAGAAGCGGGGATTACAGGCATGCGCCACCATGCTCAGGTAATGTATTTTTAGTAGAGATGGGGTTTCACCCTCTTGGCCAGGCTGGTCTTGAACTCCTGACCTCAGGTGATCGCGCCTCGGCCTCCCAAAGTGCTGGGATTACAGGCGTGAGCCACCATGCCCGGCCTGTTTCTAGTTTTTGGTTATTACAAATAAAGTTCTATGAATAATTGTGTGCGGGTTTTTGTGTGGCCATACTTTTTCATTTCTTGAGGATAAAATGCCCAGGAGTGCAATTGCTGGGTCATCTGGTAGGTATCTTTTGTTTAGTTTTTCAGGAAACTGACAAAATCTTTTCCAGAGTAGCTGGATCATTTTTGCATTCCCACCCACCCCATGTGAATGATTCAAGTTCACGGCATCCTCACCAGCGTTTGGTGTTGTCGTTATTGGTTTTTTAATTGTAGCTGTTCTAAAGTGATATCTTGTCACGGGTTTCAATTTGCATTTCACTAGTGGCTGGTGATGTGGGACATCTTTTCATGTGCTTATTTGCCTTCTGTATACCTTCCTCAGGAGCATGCGTCTTCATGTCTTTTGCCTGTTTTCTAATTGGACTGGTTTTTATTTATTTAGAGACAGAATCTCCATCTGTCACCCAGTCTGGAGTGTAGCTGGATCGAGGCTCACGGAAACCTCCGCCCCCTAGGCTCAGGTGACTCTCCTGCCTCAGCTTCCTGCGTAGCTGGGATTATAGGCACACACCACCACACCTTGCTAATTTTTGTATTTTGAGTAGAGATAGGGTTTTGCCATGTTGGCCAGGCTGGTCTCGAACTCCTGACCTCAGGTGATCCGCCTGCCTCAGCCTCCCAAAATGCTGGATTACAGGTGTGAGCCATCGCTCCCAACCTGGTTTTTACTGTATATACATGATATACTCACACCACACACATATATATGCACACACTATAGAATGTAAAGCTGTCATATATTACATATATGCTGCATATATAACAGCTTTGCTGAGATATGATTCATCACATGCCATAAAACACACCCATGTAAAATGTCCAACTGAATGGTCTTGAGTCTGTTCACTGAGTTTTACAACCATCACCACAACCAGTTTTAGAACATTTCATCACCCCAGAATAACCTCATGCCCATGAGCAGTCACACTTTCTTTCCTCACATTCCCCACCCACCACAGCCCTGTGCAACCACAAAATCTACTTCTGTCTCTACAGATTTGCCTTTTCTGAATATTTCATATGAATGGAATCACACAATATGTAACATTTTGTGACTGGCTTCTTTCACTTAATGTTTTCAAAGTTCATTCGTTGCTGGGTGCGGGGGCTCACACCTGTAATCCCAGCACTTTGGGAGGCCAAGGTGGGTGGATCCCCTGAGGTCAGAAGTTCAGGACCAGCCTGGCCAACATGGTAAAACCCTGTCTCTACTAACAATATGAAAAATTAGCTGAATGTGGTGGTGTGCACCTGTAATCCCAGTTACTCAGGAGGTTGGGGCAGGTGAATCGCTTGAACCCTGGAGGCAGAGGTTGCAGTGAGCCAAGATCATGCTACTGCACTCCAGCCTGGGTGACAAGAGTGAAGCTCTATCTCAGAAAATAAAGAAATAAAAAGTTCATCCATGTTATAGCACCTATCAGTACCTCATTCTTTTTTATTATCAAATATTTCTTTCTTTTTTTTTTTTTTTTTAAGACAGAGTCTCCTTCTGTCGCCAGGCTGGAGTGCAGTGGCATGATCTCAGCTTACTGCAAACTCTGACTCCCAGGTTCAAGCAATTCTCCTGCCTCAGCCTCCAGAGTAGCTGGGATTACAGGTGCCCACCACTACACCCAGCTATTTTTTTGTATTTTTAGTAGAGACGGGGTTTTACCATGTTGGCCAGGATGGTCTCGAACTCCTGACTTCATGTGATCCACCCGCATCAGCCTCCCAAAGTGCCGGGATTATAGGCATAAGCCACGGTACCCGGCCAAGATCTTTTTCCTTCTCGATATCTGTGTACTCCTCCCTCAGCGCCTGGGGGCTGCTGAAGCTTCCGTGCAGGTGTCCAGATTCCCCATCATTTATGCCTGTGATGGAAAGTAGTGGAAGTGGTAGTAACTGGATGGTGTCACTAAACTACAAATACTTTCAGGTGGGCTCGTGCCTTTCTCAGCGAGCTGGCAGTCCTCCTGCTTGGCTTGAGTCACTCACATTTCCTGAGAGCTGGGTAAAGGGGAGTTGTGGAGAAGCCCGTTCTGATCTGATATTGCAAACCCAGGCACGGAAAGGAATAACTGCCCGTAGATATTCTAGTCTTCCAATCTGAGTCCCAGCCCGCATCCCCTCCATCGTCTCTTCTCCACTCCCCAGGCCCCCGCAGAGCCACAGAGAAGCAGGGGGTGTGGCCGTGGAAGGTCAACCTCTCTGACCAGAGACTTTACTGTACTTCTCCTTTCACTCTCAGATGCTGCCAGGGTCCCTGAAGAGGGAAGACTCGCGGAAACAGGTAAAAACCATTTTGCTTTTGTTTTGCATTTGACAGGCAAGTTATTATGGAGCAGCAGTTGGGCCAGGCTTACCTCCCAGAGCTGGGAACACAGCGGGGGCCTCCCTGGCTCTCTCTTACCTGTGTTACAACAGGTTTTAGACAGACCCCTGTCCTGAGTATCCACCTTGCCAGGCCTGGTGAGTTTTCCGAGAGTAGGGTAAGTTATTGGATGCCCAGGAAGGAAGAATGGAGCCAGGGAGGCCGGCCCCAAGATTCTGCAAGGCCCTCAACAAGGCAGGGCTGAGAAGGTCTGGACAGCATGGCCCTGTCCTGAGCCTCTGTGCATAATGACTGCTCTCCCTAACCTCCACCCCACCCTCAGCTGCCAAGACCAGCTTGGCTGTGGAGACCCCAACCCAGGTGGCACTGCAGGAATTAAGAAACAGACACACAGAGATAGAAAGCAAAGGTGAGACATCAGGGGACTTACAGCATTTCCAGCTGGGAGCCCAGAGCAGTCTCTGACCCATGTATTTATTCTTTACGTTCTAGTGACAAGTTTAACAAGCAGATGCTCTTTGCTCTTTCATAGGTTAAAGATAAACTCACCAGGCAGCTAGTGTATGTTCACTATAGGTTAAAGATAAACTAGAAAATACTCTTTATAAGGGAACAGAGGAAAGAGTCGCATATCCTGTGTTCAAAGAACTAATTCATCTGGTGTGACACATATTCATATTGGTTACTGTTTTAGAACGTCTTAAGCAGTTTTCTGCTTTACGGGGCTGACTAGGTTTTCCTTGCCACCGCCCTCAGCAAACAATATGATATATCACACACGTCAGAATTTGCGCTCAATACTCAGCCTTCCATTCCTGGGCCTGGGGCCCTCCTCCTGTGCTCCAGAGACTCCTGGAGCGCCTTGAGGCAGCGCACAGTCCTGCTTTGGAGGTACCCATCTCCCACTCCTGCTGGGATACTCCAGCCCAGCCCAGAGGAGGGTGTGGCTAGAGGGTGCTGGCAGAGCAGGCACAATGGCCCGGCTCCTGGAGGCAAGTCTCAGCTGCATGGAATGGAGTCTAGTCCTTGCCACAGGTTCCCTTGTTACCCCTTAGGGAAACTTAAGGGGATTTCCAAGAGCACTGGCCCTGCAGCCCTGCAAAGTTTTTTATGCAGCATGTAAAATAGATCCCATGGCTGAAGAAGTGTGGACAATCTATTATACTATACTCGAGTCACCACATCTAGAGATTCATTGTATAGATAGAGTTTACTAAAAGGGTTTTAACGCCCTGCAGTAAGGAATCTAACTTAAGCCAGGTGCAGTGGCTCACGCCTGTAATCCCAACACTTTGGGAGGCCAAGTTGGGCGAATCACCTGAGGTCAGGAGTTTGAAACCAGCCTGGCCCCATGTGGCCAGAAGAGATAAACAGACAGAAAGGGGAACACCGATGCCTGGGAAACATTGGCGGGTGAGTGGGAGGGGCTTGGGTTGGTGCTGAGACCGGAGACACACTCTGCTGTCACATCCTTCGGGGTCCCCGGGGGCCAGCACAGAGGGACATGATCATGTAAATTGGGACTTAAATTTAACTCTATGTAAATATAACTCTGTGCAGAGGTCAGGGATGATAGAGGACATGTTCATTGCATAGAGGAAGAGAGAGATGGGCAGCAGTTGCAAAACCTAACCCACAGACAGGTTTTGTTGGACGAGCTCTGTATATTTTTAGTTTATTTATTTTTATTTTTTTCGAGATGGGGTCTCGCTCTGTTGCTCAGGCTGGAGTGCAGTGGGGAGATCACCATGGGCTTGACTTCCTGGGCTCAAATGATCCTCCCACCTCAGCCTCTTGATTAGCTGAGACTGCAGGTGTGTGCCACCATGCCTGACTAGTTTTTAAATTTTTTTGTAGACACCAGGTCTTGCTATGTTGCCCAGGCTGGTCTCAAACTCCTGACCTCAAGTAATCCTCCCACCTTGGCCACCTCTCCTGGTCTGTTTTTCTTCTGAAGTAGGACATTCCACATAGCAGCTTGGCTTCTTCTCTTAAAACAGTGGAAGATCAGACAGTGTGAGCTCAGTCAGGTTCTGTCTGGCAATAACTGGATGGAACTGAGACAGCCACCACCTTTAGAGGAGGCACAACTTTTGTCACCACCTGGTTGATTTCTGTTTCCTGCCTGGCCTGTGGGACATCTGAGGGGGACCTGTGGACCACATTCTCCCGAGACCTGCCAGACCCCTCAAAATGCTCTTCTGGCATTATACTTTGTTTTTTTTGTGTGTGTTTTGGGGTTTTGTTGTTGTTGTTGTTGCGGTTTTTGAAACAGGGTCTTGCCTTGTTGACCAGGCTGGAGTGCAGTAGTGAGATCTTGGCCCACGGCAACCTCCACCTCCTGGGTTCAAGCAATTCTCCTGCCTCAGCCTCCTGGGTAGCTGAGATTACAGGTGTGCACCACCATGCCTGGCTGATTTTTTTTTTTTTTTTTTTTTTTTTTTTTTAGTAAAGATGGGGTTTTGGGCTGGGTGCCATAGCTCACACCTGTAATCCCAGCACTCTGGGAGGCCGAAGCGGGTGGACCACCTGAGGTTGGGAGTTCAAGACCAGCCTGACAAACATGGAGAAACCCCCATCTCTACTAAAAATACAAAATTAACCAGGCATGCTGGTGCATGCCTGTAATCCCAGCTACTCGGGAGGCTGAGGCAGGACAGTCATTTGAACCCTGAAAGCAGAGGTTGGGGTGAGCTGAGATCGCACCATTGCACTCCAGCCTGAGCAACAAGAGTGAAACTCGGTCTCAAACCAAAAAAAAAAAGATGGTGATTCACCATGTTGGCCAGGCTGCTCTTGAAGTCCCGACCCCAAGTGATATGCCTGCCTTGGCCTCCCAAAGTATTGGGATTACAGGCATGAGCCACTGTGCTCGGCTAACCTATACTTTGTTACTGGCTTTAGAATTCTCTTTTACTTGATCTTTCAAACCAAATTTTGACCATGTCTGTCCCTGAGTATAATCCTTGATGAGTAGTACCAGGGAGAGCTCCGTGTTATCCAGGGCTTGACATTTGAGGCACTCAGTGGTCTGGTGCCACTCAAAGCCTGAGACCTGGGCAGAAATCTTATAAAATTAGAGATGGATGAATGAATGGATGGAAAAAAAGGAAGCAAGGGAGGAATGAAGGAAGAAAGGAAGAAGTTCCGGAAAGAGAGAGAGCCATGGAGCTCTCAGGTTGAAGGAGAAAAAACTCTGGGCTAGGAGCAGTGGCTCATGCCTGTATTCCCAGCACTTTGGGAGGCTGAGGCAGGTGGTTCATGAGGTCAGGAGTTCAAGACCAGCCTGGCCAACATGGTGAAACCCCATCTCTACTAAAAATACAAAAATTAGTTGGGCGTGGTGGCACCTGCCTTTACCTGGCTACTTAGGGGGCTGAGGCCAGAGAAACACTTGAGCCTGGGAAGCAGAGGTTGCAGTGAGCTGAGATCACACCACTGCACTTCAGCCTGGGTGACAGAGTGAGACTCTGTCTCAAAAAAAAAAAAAACCCAAAAATTAAAGAACTCCATGAGGATCCCAAATGCCATACAGACCCAGTCCTCCCGAATCCAGGGGAAGGGTCAGAGCTCAGTGGGTGAGCAAGAAAAGCCATGTGGAAGAAGTAAGCCACCAGACGCCTCAAAGACAAACTCTCCCCTGCTCAGGCTTCCTTCCGCCCAGACACGACACCATGCATCTCCTCGGCCCCTGGTTCCTGTTCCTGGGTAAGGACTGTGGCCTGGGCTGGTACTGGGGTTCTGGGATGTCAGTGGGCACTGGAGGAGGAGGAAAGACCTGGGCTGAGAGGTGTCAACATAGGGTAGGGTAGGGGTGGCAAGTGTGTGTAGATAAATGTCCATACAAATATACATACAAATATGTATGTTTCCCATATATACATACGCTTCTCTCTTTGCATCCTGCTGTCTTTGTGACTCTCTGTATCTCTCCCACTATCTCCAGAGGGAATTCTTTAGTCTTTTGAAAGATCTCGGATAGGTGCGGTGGCTCATGCCTGTGACCTCACTTTGTGAGGCTGAGGCGGGAGGATCACTTGAGGTCAGGAGTTCAAGACCAGCCTGGGCAACATAGCAAGACACTCCCATCTCTAAAAAGAATGAAAAATTAAATAAATTTAAAAATAAAGAATAGTTTTTAAAAGAAGGCTCTCATGCCCCCTCAATAATGCTTTCTGATCACTGTGGTGAGTTCCAGAATACTTGGCTTTCTCTGCCTCAAGTGATTGGCAATTTCAGCATCCCAAAGCCCTCTACGCCTGGGAGGGGGCCTGCGTCTGGATCCCCTGCACCTACAGAATCCCAGATTTCGATGATGCTCTGAAAACGTTCGTCCTGTTCCACAATCCTAACTATAACGACAAAACCAAGCGCTTCGAGGGGACCATACTCTATGAAAACAAAGAGGATGGAAAGTTTCCTTCTGAGCAAAGGGTGCAATTCCTGGAGCCTGACAGGAAGAACTGCACACTGAAAATCAACCCGGTATACGCCAATGACAGTGGTCTGCTGGGGCTGAGGATGGAATCCAAGAAAAATAATAAATGGATGGAAAAAACACACCTCAGTGTCTCTGGTAAGGCCTGCGGGGAGTGGGTCCTCTGCTCTGGGTAGGGGCGAGCTGGGGGCAGATAACACCTGACTCTTGGCACGGAGCTCACAAACTGAGCTGCCTGCAGGGCTCAGGCAGGGGTCGCTGGCGGGTGGTGATGGCGAGGTAGCAGCACTAGACGGAGCTGCGGGACCTCAGGCGTCCCACCTCACCCACAGCTCCTGCCCTTCCGGGACCTGTATTCTAAGGTTGTCGGATCTTCCAATCTTTCTCTCTTTCTTTCTCACCATGTAGTTTTCAGCTTTTGTGACAAACTTGTGTTTGGCCTTAGTGTTGGAGTCATCCAAGCACCACATCCCTTTAGTGGGGTGGGTCTGTGTGCAGCCAGCCTCGGCTCTTCCCCAGGCTGGACCACCCCCTTCAGACAGCGGGGTCTGAAGTTTCATCGATCACCCCAAACATGGGGCTGCTCAGGGCTGCCCACCAAGGAAACCTAGTGTGAAAATGAGTGACCACACTCCCTCGGCTCCAGACCTGTTCAGTGGCTCAAATCCACCCCTACGTGTGCAATCCCATAACTGAACCTACCTTATAAAAATCACGAGATGCTCATTTTACTTTTTTTCTCTTCTTTTCCCCTTCCCCTTCCCTTCTTTTTATTTTTTTGAGATCGAGTTTCACTCTTGTTGCCTGGGCTGGCGTTCAATGGCTTGATCTCAACTCACGGCAGCCTCCACCTACCAGGTTTAAGCGATTCTCCTGCCTCAGCCTCCCAAGTAGCTGGGATTACAGGCATACACTACCACGCCCAGCTAATTTTGTATTTTTAGTAGAGCCAGGGTTTCTCCATGTTGGTCAGTCTGGTCTCAAACTCCCAACCTCAGGCGATCCACCCTCCTCAGCCTCCCAAAGTGCTGGGATTACAGGCATGAGCCACTGTGCCTGGCCTCCCTTCCCTTTTTATGAGACAGGGTCTTGCTCTGTCATCACCCAGGCTGGAGTGCCGTGGCGTGATCCCAGCTCACCACAACCTCCACCTCCCAGGTTTGAGTGATTCTTCTGTCTCAGCCTCCCGAGTAGCTGGGACTACAGGCGCCTGCCACCACGCTCAGCTAATTTTTATATTTTTAGTAGAGACGGGGTTTCACCATGTTGTCCAGGCTGGTCTCAAACTCCTGATCTTGTGATCTGCCTGTCTCAGCCTCCCAAAGTGCTGGGATTACAGGCATGAGCCACCGCACCTGGTCTTGGCTCATTAAATTTCTGCATGTCATCAAGGAGGTCTGTGAGACCTAAGGATCATTGTTCTTTGAAAGAAAGACAAGTTCATTTATCTTGCAGACCGCCCCCAGGAGGTGAGGATGTAAGTTAATCAATTATTAGTGAATTAATGGTTACCTGCTACTGAAATGACCAAACGCAACTAATCACGCTTGGAGGAAGGAAAGGACAAAGAGAAAAGAAAAGAAGTAAAATGAACATCTTAACTTTGTTTATAACACAGGCTCAGTTATAGCACCGCACACGTAGGGGCAGATTTGACCCATCAAACACAGGTATGGGGTCTCTGCCCTAGGAGTGTGCTTACTCTGTTCCGCATCCTGCTTCCTGGATGGGTAGTTCTGAGCAGCCTTAAGTTTGGGGTGGGTGATGTAGCTCCAGACCCCGCTGTCTGAAATGGGTGGTCCAGCCTGGGGGAAAGCTGAGGCTGGCTGCACGCAGAGCCACCCCACTAAAGGAATGCCATGCTTGGATGGCTCCAATACTGAATGAAGCCAGGAAACCAACACAAGGTTGTCAAAGCCAAAAAGCACAGGAACTAAACTGGTAAAATACACTTAGAGGTGGTGGGAGTACAACCTTGCATCGTTCAGAAAGCGCACATCCGTCAATGAGAATGAAAGAAGCATAGATTACAATTCCCAAGGACGTTTAGTGTGGTCAAGGCCTTTCAGAGACTATTTCAAGTGAGCAAAAGCGATTCAAAGTGGAGAAAAGCAGGACTGGGCTGGGTGCAGTAGTTCCTGCCTGTAACCCCAGCACTTTGGGAGGCTGAGGTCGGAGGATCACTTGAGCCCAGGAGTTTGAGACCAGCCTGGGTAACATGGCAAGACCCTATCTCTACAAAAAAATTTAAAATCTAGCTAGATGTGGTGGTACATGCCTGTAGTCCCAGTTACTCAGGGGACTGAGATAAGAGGATTGCTTGAGCCCAGGAGGTCGAGGCTGCAGTAAGCTAGGATTGTGCCACTGTACTCCAGCCTGGGTGACAGAGCAAGACCCTGTCTCTAAAGAAAAAAAAAAAACAGGCCCGGCGTGGTGGCTTACACCTGTAATCCCAGGACTTTGGGAGGCCAAGGCAGGAGGATCACTTGAGGTCAGGAGTTCAAGATCAGCCTGGCCAACATGGTGAAATCCTGTCTCTACTAAAAATACAAAAAATTAGTTGGGCATGGTGGTGGGTGCCTGTAATCCCAGCTACTTGGGAGGCTGAGGCAGAGGGACCACTAGAATTGGGGAGGCGGACGTTGCAGCAAGCTGAGATCGCACCACTGCACTCCAGCCTGGGTGACAGAGGGAGGTTCCATCCCTCCCCCCCAAAAAAAACAGCAGGACTGGAGAGAGGTGGAATGAAGTGGCAAGGGGTTCCTGAGGGGTGATCTGGGACAAGACATCTAGTCTCCCAGGCTCCAGCACGGTCTCTGTTCTTTTGCAGAAAAGCCCTTTCCACCTCATATCCAGCTCCCTCCAGAAATTCAAGAATCCCAGGAAATCACTCTGACCTGCTTGCTGAATTTCTCCTGCTATGGGTATCAGATCCGATTGCAGTGGTTCCTGGAGGGGGATTCAATGACACAGTCTGTTGTTACCCTGACCTCCTTGGTCCCTGACTCTGTCTTCACCCGGAGCGAGCTCAAGCTCAGGACACAGTGGAGTCACCACGGGAAGAACGTGACCTGCCAGCTCCACGATGCGAAAGGGAAGGTCCTCTCCAAAGACACAGTGCAACTGAATGTGAAGCGTGAGTCTCCCCAACACTCCTATGGGAAGGGCAGGGTCTTTGTCACCTTCTCCCCAGCCCCTCAGGTAGCACGCACCCAGGACACGGGGAAGCCTGCACAGACAGTGGTGTCCTCGCGCCCCGGTCACACTGACCTCCCTCTGGCACCACCCGCCTTGTCAGTCCTGGGGTTTTGGGAAATTGATTCAATTTAGCCTAACGTAATAAAATAGTCCATCCTTGGCCAGGCATGGTGGCTCATACCTGTAATCCCAGCACTTTGGAAGGCAGAGGCAGGTGGATCATGAGGTCAGGAGATGGAGACCATCCTGGCTAACATGGTGAAACCCCATCTCTACTAAAAATGCAAAAAATTAGCAAGGCGTGGTGGCGCGTGCCTGTAGTCTCAGCTACTCGGGAGGCTGAGGCAGGAGAATCACCTGAACCCAGGAGGCAGAGGTTGCCGTGACCCGAGACCTTGCCACTCACTGCACTCCAGCCTGGGCAACAGAGCCAGACTCCATCTCAAAAAAAAAAAAAAACGGTCCATCCTCAAGCAGCGACATGATTTGGGGATTATCTGATTAGGTCTCTTTGTTTCCCTCTTGGGGGGGATTTTTTATTTTGTGCCTCATTCATTCAATAAATATGTATCACAAACCTACTAGGTTCCAGGCCTTATTAGGGCTGCCAGCTGAGGGGGGGGGCACAGGGCAGGGGGCAGGGTGCAGCAGTGAGCAAAGCTCTTGCCCCACACGGAGCCAGCACTGCAGTGAAAGAGACAGACAACAAATGGATTAACAAAGAAATACAGAGCACGAGCCAAGACATTAGGATATGGAACAAAGCAATGTTAACAAAGAAATATACAACATTATTGTAGGTAGATTGTGTATTAGGAAAAAATAAGGCTGGGAGAGGGGAGTGATAGAGAGAGATCTCTTTAAGAAGGTGAGCACTTCAGCTGATTGGAACAGAGGGAGGGGCTGAGGCCAGCGAATATTTGAGAGAGGAGGATTTCAGGGGAAGAGAAGAGCATGTTCAAAGGCTTGAGGCAGGAGCTGGGAGTGGGAGGATCTCAGAGGCTGAGGGCCACATGTCAGGACAGGAGGCAGGAGATGGAGCAGGACTCCGGATCCCAAGGGCTGCAGTGAGGGTCTGGGATTCTGTGCAACGCGTGGAACCCACTTGTGGCTTCCCGCAGGATTGGCGAGGTCTGGTGGATGGTGTGAGGAACCCTGCATGCTGCTGGTGGAGACCAGCAGGCAGAGGAAGTGGGAGGGGGAAGCTGAAAGCCAAGTTAGGAGGCCGTGACCAGGCTGTGACCTGGGTCCCCGCTTGGTCAGAATAAAAGTCCTTTCCCCACATTCTGCCCTCTGAGAATTCCCCACCCCCTCCCGACTGCCCCTTTGCTCCTCCAGACGTCCCGCAATTGAAGATCAATGTCACTCCCAGTGAACCCACGGTAAGGGAGGGGGACTCTGTGACCATGACCTGCGAGGTCAGCAGCAGCAACCCGGACTACAGGACTGTATCCTGGCACAAGGATGGGGCCCTGCTGGAGGGACAGAACACACTCACGCTACAGCTGCCGGAAGTGACCAAGCACCAGAGTGGGACGTACTGCTGTCAGGCCTCCAATGACGTGGGCACAGGAATGTCAGGCCCAGTGGTTCTACAAGTGAAGTGTGAGGCCCTTGGAGCCGGGGGTGGGCCAGGCAGGGAGTTGGCAGGGGAGGACCCGGAGAGGGGAGACTCAGGGGTTCTTGGGGCCATGTGCTCAGGTTGAGGGGGTGCTCTCCTCACCTTCCCATTCGCCTCTGCCCCGTCTTCCAGATGCCCCAGAACCTTCCAGCGTTCAGATCTCCCCGTCACCGGCTGTGGAGGGAAATGAAGTCAAGTTTCTTTGCGCATCACAGGCCAATCCTCCTCCAACAAATTACACATGGTACCACAACGGGAAAGAAGTGCAGGGAAGGACAGAGGGGACATTCCGCATCCCTAAGGCCCTCCCCTGGCACACCGGGACTTATTCCTGCGTGGCAGAAAACCTTCTTGGTACTGGACAGAGGGGCCCGGGAGCTGAGCTGGATGTCCAGTGTGAGTAGCCATGCAGCCTCTGGTTCTAGGGAGAGACGATGGACACAGGGAGGGGGAACGCAGATGGGGCGCAGGGCATTCCCGGGTCCTAGAGTCAAGAGCAAGGAGCAGCCAGGGTCTCCTGACATGTCAGCTTCTCAGGGTAGGGGCTTTGTTGCTATTCACAGCTGCGTTCCCAGCTCCTAGCATAGGGCCTGGCTCACGGAAGGTACTCAGTAGATGCTTATTGAATGAATGAGGCCAGGCATGGTGGCTCACACCTGCAATCCCAGCTCTTTGGGAGGCGAAGGCAGGAGGGTCGCTTGAGCCCAGGAGTTTGAGACCAGTCTGGGTCACACACAGTGAGATACCATTTCTACAAAAAATGCAAAAATTAGCTGGGCGTGGTGGTGTGTGCCTGTGGTCCCAGCTACTGGGAGCGCCAAAGTGGGAGAATCGTTTGAGCCCAGGAGCGTGAGGCTGCAGTAAGCTGTGTTCCTGCTACTGCACTCCAGCCTGGGTCAGAGAGCAAGACTCGGGTCTCAAAAGAAAAGAAAATGCTGGGGCTGGGATTACAGGTGTGGGCCAGGCATGGTGGCTTGCACCTGCAATCCCAGCACTTTGGGAGGCTGAGGCAGGCGGATCACTTGAGGCCAGGAGTTTGAGTCCAGCCTGGGCAACATGGTAAAACCTCATCTCTACAAAAAAATTTAGCCTCTCATGGGTGCGTGCCTGTAATCTCAGCTACCCAGGAGGGTAAGGTGGCAGGATCATCTGAGGCGGGGCGGGCAAGGCTGCGGTGAGCGAGTGATCACACCGCTGCACTCCAGCCTGGTGACTGAGTGAGACTGTCTCAAAAAAAAGGAATAAATTGGCTAGTTATGGTGGTTCATGCCTGTAATCCCAGCACTTTGGGAGGCTGAGGCGAGTGGATTACCTGAGGTCAAGAGTTCGAGATCAGCCTGGCCAACATGGCGAAACCCTGTCTCTACTAAAAATACAAAACACTAGCTGGACGTGGTGGCAGGCACCTGTAATCCCAGGTACTCGGGAGGCTAAGGCAGGAAAATCACTTGAACCTGGGAGGCGGAATTTGCAGTGAGCTGAGATGGTGCCGCTGCACTCCAGCCTGGGGGATGGAAGAGTAAGACTCTGTCTCTAAAAAAAAAAAAAAAAAAGAATGATTAAGTGCAAGATACCAGGACTCCATGAGGGACACAGAGACTTAGTGTCCCTAGGCAGTGGCTGAGTCTCAAAAGAGGCCTTGAAATTTTTGGTGAGAACTGGGGCAACATGCCTCGTTACGCCTCCATTGTGAGACCCTGGTTAACACAGTGAATCTCATCACTGAGTAGAGCACAGGACAAAGAGAATGCATAGATTTGATCCTTGACCCTCAGATGTCATATGTGCTGACAGGACACGGGTGCCCACATCCTGAGCATCTCAGACAGCTGGTTGTATGACCACAGCAGCCGCAGCGGTCTTTGTGCAACATTTGCCACACCACACTCTCCTCTAAGGGCACCATCTCATTTCCTACTTGGAACAATTCCAGGAGGTTAGGAACCCACCCCCTCGAACTCTCAGGATGCCCCCCTCCTGCCACCCAACCCCTGCTGCCTTTTGGTTTTGAGATAGAGTCTAGCTCTGTTGCTCAGGCTGGAGTGCAGTGGCAGGATCTCAGCTCACTGCAACCTCTGCCTCCCAGGTTCAAGATTCTCCTGCCTCAGCCTCCTGAGTAGCGAGGACTACAGACATGCACCACTATGCATAGCTAAGTTTTAAAACTTTTAGTAGAGACAGGCTTTGCTGTGTTGGCCAGGCTGGTCTCGAACTCCTGACCTCAGGTGATCCACTCACCTCGGCCTCCCAAAGTGCTGGGATTACAGGTGTGATCCACCATGCACAGCCTCAGGACCCCATTTGACAGATGCGTAAACTGAGACCTGAAGCTCATGCCGGTGCGCCTCTCAGCAGCCATCTGGCTCAGGTGCTGTGCTCTGGACCCCTGCACCAAACCACAGCCAGGCCGGAGAGCCAGGTCAGGGTTTCTGTCCTCACACAGATGCAGAAAGGAAGCACAAGCGTCCTTTCAATTACTTTAGGACCTGTGCGGATGCCCGGGGCAGGTAGTGGAAGAAGAGGAAGCAAGAGGGAAGGGGTACTAAGGACAACTGGCTGTTCTTTACTCACGTCTCCGGTTTTCTTCCAGATCCTCCCAAGGAGGTGACCACAGTGATTCAAAACCCCACGTCGATTCGAGAAGGAGACACGGTGACCCTTTCCTGTAACTACAATTCCAGTAACCCCGGCGTTACCTGGTATGCATGGAGAACTGGTAGCACCCGGGAGGAGTCATCGTCTGGGGTGCTGGAGATCCAAAACATTGCCTGGAACAACAACGTCATCAGCTGTGCAGCTTGTAACCACTGGTGCTCGTGGGGCTCCCAGGTCACCCTGAATGTCCAGTGTGAGTCCCCGGGCTGGGCAGGGGGATCTGGGAGGTAGCCTGGCTGGGACATGGGGATGGAAGGTGACGAGGCTGGAGCCTGGGCCAGTGTCTTCGACGAAATTGAGGGTTAGGAGCCTGACCTCAGGGCCAAGGGGAGGGGAGGCCTGGGGACAGCAAGAGGGACAGGGAACGGTGAGGTCAGCTTGGGACCGTTGCCCTCCAGATGCCCCCAGAGGCGTGTGGGTCCGGAAAATCAAGCCCCTTGCCGAGATTTACTCTGGGAACTCAGTCAGCCTCCAATGTGGCTTCGCAAGCAGCCATCCCAAAGAAGTTCATTTCCTCTGGAAGAAAAATGGCAACGTTCTGGGGGAAGAGAGTGAGCTGAACTTTGACTCCATCTCCCCAGAAGACGCCGGGAGTTACAGCTGCTGGGTGAAGAACTCTGCAGGACAGACGGCATCTGAGCCCTGGCCGCTCCAAGTGCTGTGTGAGTGGGGGCTGGAGCTTGGGAGTGGAGCAGAGCAGGGACCAGCAACCTGCCTGGTGGTGACCTCCCCCTTTCCCCCCACCCGCTGTGCAGATGCACCCCGGAGGCTGCGTGTGTCCATGAGCCCAGGGAACCAAGTGATGGAGGGGAGGAGGGCAGCCCTGACCTGTGAGAGCGATGCCAACCCTCCCATCTCCCACTACACCTGGTTTGACCAGAATAATCGAACCTTCCACTACCCCGGCCAGACGCTGAGATTGGAGCCAGTGGAGGTGGAGCACTCGGGAGCTTACTGGTGCCGGGGGACCAACAGTGTGGGCGAGGGCCACTCGCCCCTCAGCACCCTCACTGTCTACTGTAAGGCCTCTTCCTGCTCTTGTTCTTGGTGGTGATGGTTCTTCTTTCTTCTTCTTCGCCCCCTTCTCCTCCTCCTCCTTCTCCTCCTCCTCCTTTTCCTCCTCCTCCTTCTCCTCCCCCTCCTTCTCCTCCTCCTCCTTCTCTTCCTCCTCCTCCTCCTCGTCCTCCTTCTCCTCGTCCTCCTCCTTCTCCTCCTCCTCCTCCCCCTCCTCCTCCTCCCCCTCCTCCTCCTCCCCCTTCTCCTCCTCCTCCTTCTTCTCCTTCTCCTCCTCCTCCTTCTCCTCCTCCTTCTCCTTCTCCTCCCCTCTTTCTCCTCCTCCTCCCCCTCCCCCTTCTCCTTCTCCTCCTCCTTCTCCTCCTCCTCTTTCTCCTCCCCCCCCTCTCCTCCTCCTCCCTCTTCTCCTTCTCCTCCTCCTCCTTGTCCTCCTCCTCCTCCTCCTTCTCCTTCTCCTTCTCCTCCTTCTCCTCCTTCTCCTCCCCCTCTTCCTCCCCCTCTTCCTCCTCCTCGTTCTCCTCCTCCTTCTCCTCCTTTCCTCCTCCTTCTCCTCCTCCTCCTTCTCCTCCTTCTCCTCCTCCTCCTCCTTCTCCTCCTTCTCCTCCTTCTCCTCCTCCTTCTCCTCCTCCTCCTTCTTCTCCTCCTTCTCCTCCTTCTCCTCCTTCTCCTCCTCCTTCTCCTTCTCCTCCCCTCCTTCTCCTCCTCCTCCCCCTCCCCCTTCTCCTTCTCCTCCTCCTTCTCCTCCTCCTCCTCCTTCCCCTCCCCCTCCTCCTTCTCCTCCTCCTCTTTCTCCTCCTCCTCCTTCTCCTCCTCCTCCTTCTTCTCCTCCTCCTTTTCCTCCTCCTCCTCCTCCTTCTCCTTCTCCTTCTCCTCCTCCTCCTCCCCCTCTTCCTCCCCCTCTTCCTCCTCCTCGTTCTCCTCCTCCTTCTCCTCCTTTCCTCCTCCTTCTCCTCCTCCTCCTTCTCCTCCTTCTCCTCCTCCTCCTCCTCCTCCTTCTCCTCCTTCTCCTCCTTCTCCTCCTTCTCCTCCTCCTTCTCCTCCTCCTCCTTCTTCTCCTTCTCCTCCTTCTCCTCCTCCTTCTCCTCCTCCTCCTTCTTCTCCTTCTCCTCCTCCTCCTTCTTCTCCTTCTCCTCCTCCTCCTTCTTCTCCTTCTCCTCCTCCTCCTTCTTCTCCTTCTTCTCCTCCTCCTTCTTCTCCTCCTCTTCCTTCTCCTCCTCCTCCTTCTTTCTTCTGTCTTCTTTCCTCTTCTCTTTTTCTTCTTCCTCTTGTTCCTTCTCCTCCTCCTTCTCTTTCTCCTCCTCCTCCTCTTCTTTTTTCTTCTTCTTTTCCTCCTCTTACTTCTTTCTTCTTCTGCTTCTTCCTTTTTTTTTTTTGTTTTTTTGAGACAGTCTCACTCTTGTCACCCAGGGTGGAGTATAGTGGCTCAATCTGGGCTCACTGCAACCTCTGCCTCCCGGGTTCAAGCTATTGTCCTGCCTCAGCCTCCTGAGCAGCTGGATCACAGGCATGTGCCACCATGCCCAGCTAATTTTTGTATTTTTAGTAGAGATGGGGTTTCACCATATTGACCACACTGATCTCGAACTCCTGACCTTGTGATCCGCCTGCCTTGGCTTCCCAAAGTGCTGGGATTACAGGCGTGAGCCACTGCACCCAACTCCTTGTTTTTATCCTTTAAGATGTCAGTGATTTTTATTCCCCAAACAGGGTCTCACCCTGTTGCACAGGCTGTCGTGCAGTGACACAATCTCAGCTCCTGCCTCGACCCCCTGGGCTCAAGTGGTTCTCCTGCCTCGGCCTCCAGAGTAGTAGACTTGGGAGATTTTTAAGCAGATCATATAAGCACATGGTGAAAATATAAAATGTAAGCATGAAAGGGTCAGTAGTGGAAAGACAGATGTTGCTCACTCTTGATCCCCGAGGACTCATCCCCACCACAGGTCCCCACTGCACACAGTTGCCCCACCTTCCCCGGGGGTGTTTTTCACATGCACAATTCACATACAGGGGTCTGTGTCTACACATCATTCCTAGTGACACAGACCAGGCAGAGCTCACACTTTGCCCAGGACTTTTCTTTGCTTTTTTCCATGGAATAATACCACTTGGACATTGTTCTGTATCTGTGCATACACAGGGTGCCTAAAGTCTGCAGGCAGCGCAAGGTGGCTCACACCTATAATCTCAACACTTTGAGGGGCGGAGGTGGGAGGATCTCTTGAGCCCAGGAGTTCGAGACCAGCCTGGACAACATAGCCTATACCTCATAGCCAGACCTGGTCTCTACAAAATACACCAAAATATATACACATTAAAAGTAAAACAATAACAAAAAGAAGAGTCTGGAAGCATAGAGAACATATTTGATTAATTTATTGTACTTTTGCAGATTAACGATTGGAAACATGGCCTTAAATTTAGGGAACCTGGCCGGGCGCAGTGGCTCGACACCTGTAATCCCAACACTTTGGGAGGCCGAAGCGGGTGGATCACTTGAGGCCAGGAGCTCAAGACCAGCCTGGCTGACATGGTGAAACCCCATCTCTACTAAAGATATAAAAATTAGCCGGGCGTGGTGATGTGCACCTGTAATCCCAGCTACTTGGGAGGCTGAGGCAGGGGAATCTCTTGAACCAGGGAGGCGTAGGTTGCAGTGAGCCGAGATCATGCCACTGGACTCCAGCCTGGGCAACAGAGCGAGAGTCTGTCTCAATCAATCAATCAACGTAGGGAACTGTCACCAGCACAGCCGAAGACCAAAGGAAAACATCTGGAACATATCTGGAAATGTCACAGACACACCCCATCATATAAAAAACTGTTCCCTGGGTCTCCCCTTTGCAGACAGCCTGAGACCCGCCTCTTTTTCCCAGAGCCGTGCAGCCCTTTCGTATGAAGGTTGCATACGTTTTCCTCCCAGCACCCTCTTAAGGGCTAAGGTCTGCAGCCTCTTGTTTTGGGCATGCCTGCAAGGACAGCTGCAAGATGCATTCCACGTGGAATTGCTGGGTGGAAGACGGGCATTTTTGGAGCTGATCACACAGCCACACTGCCATAAAGAGCTGCACCCATTCATGCAGGTGCGGGTCACAGGCTCTGGACGTGCCGCGTCTGTGGGAAAAGTAGCTCCTCAGAATTAGTGCCTCTCTCTTAACAGGAGGCCCAGAGCAGGCAGGAGTAGGTGTCGCCCTCTTCCTCTGCACCCCTCTCGCATGCATGCAGGGGAGAAGGACGGGGCTGGCTGCAGAGAGAAGTCCAGGATGCCTTCCAGGCAAAGGCTGCCAGGCAGAACTGGCTCCTCAGCTAATTAAGGTCTCTCCTTTCTTTCTCCACCCAGATAGCCCAGAGACCATCGCCAGGCAAGTGGCCCTGTTTCTCGGGTCCTGCCTGGCCATCCTCATCCTGGCGATCTGTGGGTTCAAGCTCCAGCAACGGTGAGCTCCTACCACCGCCCACCTCCTCCTCTCTCCCTTGGCAGAGGCCTGTGTCCAGTTGCTCCATCTTGAAGCCTCCAGCCTGTGGAGTCCCTGACCCTCACACATGTGCCTTTATTTCTCAGTTGGGAGAGGACACAGAGCCAGCAGGGGCTTCAGGAGAATTCCAGTGGCCAGAGCTTCTTTGTGAGGAATAAAAAGGTAGGATGGGGCTGGGCACAGTGGCTCACGCCTGTAATCCCAGAACGTTGGGAGGCCATGGCAGGTGGATCACCTGAGGTTGGGAGTTCGAGACCAGCATGGTCAACATGGTGAAACCCTGTCTCTACTAAAAATATTTTTTAAATTAGCCGGGTGTGGTGGTGCATGCCTGTAATTCCAGCTACTCAGGAGGCTGAGGCATGAGAATCACTTGAACCCAGGAGGCAGAGGTTGCAGTAAGCCAAGAATGCACCACTGCACTCCAGCCTGGGCAACAGAGCCAGACTCTGCCTCAAAAAAAAAAAAAAAAAAAGGCAAAAGTAGAATGGGAGAAAGGTGAATGCAGGGCAGACTGTGAAGCAAAGTGGGGAAATGAGGTGAAGGAGGGGAATAAAATGTCCTCTGGAGAGACCTGGGCTGTCAGAGGACAGGGAAGGGGACGAGGGTAGGGGAACAGGTGGTTGGCACTTCACCCACGCCTCCCTTCCAGGTTAGAAGGGCCCCCCTCTCGGAAGGCCCCCACTCCCTGGGATGCTACAATCCGATGATGGAAGATGTCATTAGCTATGCCACCCTACAATTTCCTGAGACGGATACACCACGAACTGGGTACTGAGGGCACTGGGAGGGTGGCCCGGCACCCTGAGGGGGAGGTGAGAGGAAAAGCTCTTGTCCTGCCTACCCTCTTTGTGCCAGGCCCATGCCAGGCACCACGATACACGCCTCATTCCCACTCCATAACAAGCCTCTGGGTAAGGGCCAGTCTCCAGAAGTGCGCATGCCCAGTCCATCCTTATCACGGAGGTCAAGACCTCGTGATACACACTCATGCCTACTCCCTCCACACACATTTGCAAGAGCTCCTACTGTGAGCTTTGGGCACTGGGGAGACAGCAGGTCTTACAGAAGAGGCTGACGTTGGGGTGCTGCTGGGGGAGCAGTGGCTCACGTCTGTAATCCCACACTTTGAGAAGCTGAGATGGGTGGATCAGGAGGTCAGGAGTTCGAGACCAGCCTGACCAAAATGGTGAAACCCTGTCTCTAGTAAAACTGCAAAAATTAGTTGGGCATGGTGGCAGGTGCCTGTAACCCTAGCTACTCAGGAGGATGAGGCAGGAGAATCACTTTAACCCAGGAGGTGGAGGTTGAGGTGACCACACCATTGCACTCCAGCCTGGGTGACAGAGCAAGACTCCGTCTCAAAAAAAAAAGAAAAAAGAAAAAGGGAGAGAGAGAGAAAGGAGAGTTCATGAGAAATGCTTCATGTGTGGTTGTCTATCTGCCCTCTTTCTCAGAGATGCAGAGTCCTCAGAGATTCAGAGACCTCCCCGAGACCGCGATGACTCAGTCATTTATTCAGTGTTGCAGAAGCGGCAAGCGGTAAGGAGGGTGGGGCTGTGGAAGGCTGGGGGCGGGGGCCTGGCCTCGGCGGGGGGTCCCGCATGGAAGGGCTTAGGTGATGGCAGAAGTTGGGTGTTGGAGACGGTTGCTCCGGAAGAGCTGGTGAGAGCCAGGCAGGCACCTCCGGGTCCCGGATGCCGGCACGCCCGCCTGGGCTTTTGGACCCCTGGGTGGAATGGAGGAGAGGATTCGGAGGAAAGCAGCGGTGGGAGGCTGGCGGCAGCAGGGCCAGGCTGACCACCACGCGGCTTTCTCAGGACGACTATGAGAACGTGGTTCCAGATTTTCCAGAGGATGAGGGAATTCATTACTCGGAGCTGATTCGGTTTGGGGTCGGGGAGCGGCCTCAGGCACCGGAAAACGTGGACTACGTAATCCTCAAGCACTGACGCCGGACGCCCTACTGGGAGCAGCAGGGGCCAGGGAAGTCCCAGAGCTTCCCCAGACGCCACCACACGGCTTCCTCCTTCGTGCACACGCACACACATTCACATCTGCACATACACACACTGCAGAGAACCTTGTGCCTGGCGCAGAGCCAGTCTTTCTGAGTGAGGGTAACCCCAACCCTCCACTCTCCTTGCTGCCCAGAAGCCCATCTAAAGGCTTGCCCCAAGATGCTCACCTTCCTGTGCCCCGCCCCCGGCCCACAGGCTGCCACCTGTCCCTCTAACCCCCACCCCCACCCCACCCCAGCTGCTTGTGTCCCTCTGGGATCTGCCCGTCATCATTTTTCCTTTCCTCCTCCATCTCTTTGGCCTGCTACCCCTGATCTGACATCCCCACTCACGAATCTTACGCCCAGTTTCTGCCTCTTGGGGGTAAGCCCAGGAAAGAACAGAAATAAGGTAGGAAGGGGCCCAGTCCTGGCCTGGCTTCTCCTCTGGAAGCGAGGCATTGCATGGGGAGCATATGCCACAGCGGCTCCTCGCCTCCGGGAACTCCGGGTTTGACATGGACACACTGGTGTGGATAAACATGTGATGGAGACAGAGCTCACAATAAAAATGGCTCAGATGCCACTTCAAAGAACCAGTGAACGCTTTTCAGTCTGTGGAGTCAGAGTGGGGAAGAGCAGAGGGGGAAGGCTTAATGGGGCCTGGTGGGGAAGGGAATGGAGTCACACTGGTTTAGTGATCAAATCAGCAGATTAGAGAGTCCAGTGTCTTGTTAGGAAAAGCATACTGGCTTTGCAGGCAGACAAGCGTGAGAGCTTTAATCTTCATTTTTTGACTTAACTAGCCGGGTGATCTTGGCAGGGCTTGCCAGCTTGCCTGAGCCTTGGTTTCTCCATCTGTGAAGTGGAGAGGGAGAGGCCACTGCCCACCATGCAGGTGGCCCCCAATAGGAAGAGAGGCATCATCATATAGGCTGGAGCAGCACAGAAGCCAAAAGTTCCCCAGGAAGCAAACCCCATCCTTTATTTGCATTTCTCGAAGAATATGAAAAGGGGAAGCCAATTCAATACAGCTCTTCTCAAAAATGACGCTACCCAGCTCTTGCACAACCCATAGCTGCCAGAGAAAGCCTTGAAGACCAGCCACGCTGAGAAAGCTCACAGCTTTTCTGCTGTTCATGGTCCTCTGCACCAGTTCCCTAATTCTGTTCACTGATTCAGATTTTCCAGTTAGGTGCCCCTGCTTCTCTCTCCGATTCTCAGATTTGATCTCTCTCCACCCATCCACCTGCCTCTGTGAAGGGGCCAAAGCTAATTTTCCTTAGACAGCAGGGGTGTGATTATCTGATCATCAAGGGGACTAGCTCCTGACACACAGCAGGTGTCCCCAAACTGCTGACTTCCTTTCCCACCCTCCTTTCCCATCTCTGCTCAATACCTGGATGCTGATTCTAGGAATTACGGTGCAGGGAGGCCTTGATCTCCCCAACAATCCACTTTGTTCCTGGTTTGATTTCTGGTGAGCATCGTTAACTTATCTGGAGGAAGATGAGACTTTAAGAACTGTTTAAATGAGACAGAGAGGGCGCTGGGATGTCTGTGACCAAAATGAGGTTCGGTGTCATTCATCCCTTCCTTCATTCATTCGGCACAGTTACTGAGCATCTGGAAATGCAGCCAGTGCAGATCCAGTTGTTAGGACACCAAAAATATAAGGAAGAGGACCAACCTTGGATATCTCTAAATCTAGGGGTCCTAAAGGATTTTAGCACAGGATCCCCTGGAGGGAGCCAAGGCAGTCCTAAGCCTGAAGGGCCTGGCTCAGGCTCCCTGGCAACCACCGAGTGTCTTCCCCTTCCCACCCTGTCCCTCAGCACAGCTGCTGACATAAACCTACTACATGGCTGATTGACCATGAGATGTGGCCATCAATAGACATTGCTGAGGCGTGAAGAGCAGGTGGCCAGGAAGCTAGGGGGGCCAGGACTCCAGATGCAGGCTCAGGCCACCCTCCAAAACCCCAGCTCTCACCGTCCTCCCAGGGCCCAGACAATGGATTGTGCATTTAGCTCCCCACACACTTGCTGTGCAACACGAAATAGACAAAGCAGACAAAAATCTCTGCCCTCAGGAGGCTGGCATTCTAGCCCAGGAGCCAGCCAAGACGATGTCACAGTCATGGGTGCTCTGAAGAAACACAGCACAAGTGAAATTCACAGGCGGGATCAGGGTGGCCGAGGCACCCGGGAAGGCCCACGGAGGAGGTGACCTTGGGTGAAGAGCCAGATGCCAGTGGGTGGAAAAACCCAACCGCTCCCCGGGGCTTTGCTCTTGCTGTAGGAGGGGAAACGGCACTGCTTCGGATCCTTCCTCCGTTCTGTCAGTTTCTCAGTTCCCAACACCACACTGAACAGTAGGAGGCAAGTTCTCTGCTCACAACAGGTGCTGCGCCCCACGTGCGGGTCTCGAGAAAAAGGCTAGAGCGGACCAATTTAGTGACTCCGAGGTATGAAAAGGAGTGAGATGGCATCTTTGAGGGAGTTAGTGATAGGATGAACTCCCCGTACTGCCCACCTGAAGCCTGGTGACCGGAGCTGCCAGGAGGCCACATGGAGAGAGGCTTATGATGGGGCACCTGGAACTCAGACGGGGCAGAGCAGTCAGGTGACCCCCACACCTGAGAAGACAGATGTGGAGAGTCTGTGTTGTTCTGAGGCAGGAAACAGACAGACCTAAAGACAGACATGGGAACAGTGAGAGACAGAGACAGATTCACAGAGCAAAGCTGGCTTCTCACTGGCAGGCGTGGGCACACCTGAGGGAGCGTCTGGAGCCCTTAGAAATCTGAACGTGATCACGCCTTATCCCACACACCCACTGCCACGTGGAGATGGTTTGGTGGATGCGGTCACAGGGCACCGTGTTGTCGGGGTGAGCCAGTGAGGCTGGGGGCCTGCCCAGGAATGCATAGAGGGTGGGGAGACCTGGCCCCAGTGCAGGTGTGAACAGACAGGAGGGCTGGGGAGGAAATAGAGCTGGATTGTGGCTGAGCCCCAGCCCTGCCCCAAGGTACTGGCTCCTACCCAGACAGGCACCGATTCCTCCCTGGCCCTTCTGTGTTCCTGCATCTTCCTAGCCCCTCACCTCCTCCGGTGTGGCCTCAGCTCCAGCCTGGATGCCCCATTAGCTGCTCACCCAAGCTGCTAGAACCTCAGGCTAATGGCCCTGCCACCCGCCCTCCTCCCCTTCCGGCTCACTGCCCATCCCAGGCATCCTCCCTCAGCCTGCTGAGGGGACTGCTGAGCCTCAGAGACATCTGGCAGTGCCAGGAGGTGGGTTTCTCCTTCTGTGACTCCTTTCTTCACCTGACTATTCCCCAAACTCCCAGATCCCCCTGTCCAGGTGGACCTGAGGACTGCCAAGCTCAACCATGACAGGTTGGAACCCAGCTGACCCTTGGGCTTTCCCTGGGGGACCCCTTTTCTTGCCCCTGGCCACAACCCCCACCTCATCCACACCTTTCTCCTTTTCGCTGTCCTGCTGGCTTTCCACTGTGGGAGAGCAGCTCCTGCCTTGCCAGGAAAGCTGGGAGGGCATCGGGCTCAGGAGTCAAACTCCCATTCCCAGGGAAGACTCAGGCTGTGGGCCCAGCCCTCTTCTGAATTCTCTCCAACCCTCCTCCCCACAGTCTCAGAAATCAAGAAGCCTCCCTTCCTCTGGGACCCTCGCAACGTCCTATCTCCTGTGATTCTGTGGGTGCTCCTCGGCTTTTAAGAGGTGATATGGTGGAGAGGAAGCTCAGTACTAAGGGCCACAAGTCCCAGCTTCTCATCTAGGCTCCGCTGCCCCTGGCTGCTGCCTCCCTCTGTGGGCCTCCGTTTCCTCGGTGATCCCACCAGGCGAATTCTAATCCTCCAGGCAGGGCCGGAACCCGCGAGTGATCCCAGGAGCCCCTCCTTTCCAGGGCCTCAAGATCTGAGGACAGGGAGCCTGTTGCGCACAAGAGCCGTGTAGGCAGGACGGCGGCCCCATGGACCTGCCCCCGCAGCTCTCCTTCGCCCTCTACGTGGCCGCCTTCGCGCTGGGCTTCCCGCTCAATTTACTGGCCATCCGAGGGGCCACAGCCCACGCCCGGCTCCGGCTCACCCCCAGCCTGGTCTACGCCCTGCACCTGGGCTGCTCTGACCTGCTGCTGACGGTCTCCCTGCCCCTGAAGGCAGTGGAGGCGCTGGCCTCAGGGGCCTGGCCTCTGCCAGTTGCATTGTGCCCCGTCTTCGCGGTGGCCCACTTCGCTCCACTCTACGCCAGCGGGGGCTTCCTGGCTGCCCTGAGCGCCGGCCGCTACCTGGGAGCTGCTTTCCCCCTGGGCTACCAAGCTTTCCGGAGGCCATGCTACTCCTGGGGGGTGTGCACGGCCATCTGGGCCCTTGTCCTGTGCCACCTGGGCCTGGTCCTTGCATTGGAGGCTCCGGGAGGCTGGCTGGACAACAGCAACACCTCGCTGGGCATCAACACCCCGGTCAACGGCTCTCCCGTGTGCCTGGAGGCCTGGGACCCGGCCTCCGCCGCCCCGGCCCGCCTCAGCCTCTCTCTCCTGCTCTTTTTCCTGCCCTTGGCCATCACAGCCTTCTGCTACGTGGGCTGCCTCCGGGCACTGGCCCGCTCAGGCCTGACACACAGGCGGAAGCTGAGGGCCGCATGGGTGGCCGGAGGGGTGCTGCTCACGCTGCTGCTCTGCGTGGGACCCTACAACGCCTCCAACGTGGCCAGCTTCCTGAACCCCGACATGGGAGGCCCCTGGAGGAAGCTGGGGCTCATCACGGGTGCCTGGAGTGTGGTGCTCAACCCGCTGGTGACCGGTTACTTGGGAAGGGGTCCTGGCCTGAAGACAGGGTGTGCGCCAAGAACGCAAGGGGGCACGTCCCAGAAGTAGTGGCCACCGCTGGCGGGGAAGGAGCATGGGGCAGAAGGGTCTGGCTGCTTCTCCTGGCCCCTGCGGGGAGCTACTGCAGAGGAACTGCAGGCAGCCTGGCCCGGAGACCTCCCTGGAGCCACTCAAGCCGAGAGCTGCACCTGCCGAGGGCTGCACCCGGGTCAGGAGAGGAGCATGGAGCCAGAACAAGGTGGCAGGGGGAGGTAAGCTTGCCCCTGCACACGTGGGCCCCCTTCCTCACCGGTCTCTCCCCTCTGCACGTCCTCACCAGCCTGTCTTCAGTGAGCCCACGGGCAAAGGCCTTGTACTTGTTGGAAGGAGGAGGAGGTCTGTTTCTGGCCCACGGGAACTGCCACTCTGGTAATGCACTTGAGGAGCCGCTACTCTGAAATCAGCTCCCGGGAGAGAACATTTGATGTCCCAGTAGGAGACGGGGCAGGAGGCAGGATAATGACACTGTTATACCACGTGAAATTCACAAGGGGGCAGCCTTGGAGCTGGGAACGGAGGCTGGCAGGAAAAGATGCTTCAGCGGGGGAGGGAAAAGGCAAAGGCCATGCAGTTGACCCTTGAACCACACGGGGATGGGGTGCCAAAACCCCATGCAGTGGAAAATCTGTGCATGACTTTGACTCCCCCAAAACTCAACTACTAATAGTCTACTGTTGACTGAAAGCTTTACTCAGTATATAAACAATTGAACAAGACATATTTGAGACCAGGCACAGTGGCTTATGCCTGTAATCCCAGTACTTTGGGAGGCTGAGGTGGGGAAGACTGCTTGCATCCAGGAGTTCAAGACCAGCCTGGGCAACATAGTGAAACCCCACCTCTACAAATAATAAAAATAAAAATAATCTAGCTGGGTGTGGTGGTATGTGCCTGTAGTCCCAGCTACTCGGGAGGCTGAAGTGGGAGGATCGCTTGAGCCCAGGATCGAGGCTGCAATGAGCCATGATTGCACCACTGCACTCCAGCCTGTGTGACAGACCAAGACCCTGTCTCTGGAAAAAAAAAAAGACATATTTTGTATGTTATATGTATTATATGCTGTATTCTTACAACAAAGTAAGCTAAAGAAAAGTACATGTTATGGAGAACATCATTAGAAAGAGAAATACCTTCACAGCACTGTGCTGTATTTATCAGTACCATAAGTTTATGTCGTCTGTTTATAAGAGAAATTCCCTGTCTGAATCGGCAGTAATTACAGCTGCAGATTTCAATCGATGGTAGATATCAAGCGGTTCAACTCGTTCTTGTAATGTCATCACTTTCCTTGCTTCTTGGAAGGAGCTCTGCCATCACTAGTGGCCCCGAATAGGGGCCCACGGGGTTATTCAGAGTTTGTGGTATTGCACTAAACACGGTGAAAAATACGCAAGAACTACGAGAGATCACTGTTTCACTTCTATACAAAATGTACTGGCGAGAGCTGCTCACCAGGAGATGATTAGCTTCACGTGGTGTTTTAAGTGGATACTCAACACTTGAACTCACAAAGACAGCATAGGAGATGGCTATGAAATTATTACAGGAGAACATTATATCTACAGTAATTTTATGCACTTATGACTTAATACTTAAAACGTCTTTACGTTTGCTTGCATTTCTCTTGACTTCAAATGGCATCAAGTAGAGTTTGTGTGTGCGCATATATATAGATAGAGATATATGTGTGTGTATATATATATATATATATATAGATAGATAGATAGATAGATAGATAGATAGATAGATACTTTTTTTTTTAGAGATAGAGTCTTGCTCTGTCTCCCATGCTGGAGTGCAATGGCATGATCTCAGCTCACTGCAACCTCCACCTCCATGGTTCAAGCAATTCTCCTGTCTCAGCCTCCCAAATAGCTGGGATTTCAGGCACCCACCACCACGCCTTTCTAATGTTTCGTATTTTTAGTACAGACAGGGTTTCGCCATGTTGGCCAGGCTTGCCTTGAACGCCTGACCTCAGTTGACCCATCCACCTCGGCCTCCCAAAGTGCTGGAATTACAGGCATGAGCCATCGTGCCCGGCCAATTTTAACTTTATATAAGAGATTTGCCCAGCCTGAGTGACATGGTGAAACCCCGTCTTTACCAAAAATACAAAGAAATTAGCGGGGCGTGGTGGCGTGTGCCTGTGGTCCCAGCTACTTGGGAGGCTGATGTGGGAGGATGGTTTGAGCCAGGCAGGCAGAGGTTGCAGGGAGCTGAGATCCCACCATTGCATTCCAGCCTGGGCAATAGAAACAGACCGTGTCTCCAGAAAAACAGAGCTTTGTGTCCATTTTATGGTAGTAAATGATAAGACAGACTAGTATCTACATGTGTTTTTTTGCATTTGTGCCATATCTATCTTTTGCTTAAATTTTTTTTTTAGTAGTTCTAGGCTTGTGGTTCCTCTGCAAGTTTTTTCAAATTGTTGCAAATCTCTGAAAATGTTTCCAACGTATTTATTGAAAATAATCCATAAGTAAGTGGACCTGCACAGTTCAAACCTGTGCTGGTCGAAGGTCATCTATATAGTCTGTAATACATGACGGGTACCGCGCTGAGTGTCTGACAATGAGCGTCGGCTCACTTCAGCTTCACATAACCCTGAGGTTTAGCCATGTGACCGCGATACTGATGGGCAGGTGTTCACTGCACGACGGTGCTGGGCAGAGGGGCAGACACTGATAAATTCTAGCCTGTGCTTTGCTCACCAAGCCGCATGCCTGCTTTGCTTGCATCAAGATAAGGAGTACTGTGTGCTAATTTGAAGAAATATGCCAGCCACTCCATAGGCAGTACTTGGTGCAGGGTGGACTCCTCTGGAAAGGAGCACTTCATTTGCACAAATGCTGCACGAGGTAGCTGCGATCCTGGAACAGGGTGAAGAAACTTGCCTGAGGCCCTACAGCAAGGAAGGGGCAAAAGTGGGATGTGATCCTTCCAAGCAGGACCCACAAGGGCCAGGGGACATTTGGAAAACTTGGGGGTATGGGGGTTAACCCTGTGTTTGTGGTTCATTTTGCAAAGGATGGCATCCCAAATCCGTGAGAGGGAGGGGAGAGGGAAGTGGCTGTGAAGGAGACAGACACCTGGGCCCCTGCTCTAAATGACCACACTGCCCCGAACATGATGACGATGTATTGGGGCACAACAAATGGCAGCCATCGGCTGGTGTGCACGGACTGACATCCGCAGATGAGCTCTGTTCAGGCTCCAAAGTCTACGCATGCAAGGATTTTTCTTGCAATTGATGATATATCGCCAGCACCCAGAAGAGAGACTGGCACACAGTAGGTGCTCAGTAAATGTTTGCTCAGTGAATGAATGAATGCCCCTAATAGCCCTCCAAAGAAAGCTCTATGGCTGTTTTATCAATATGGAAACAGGCCAGAGAAATTAAGTAACTTTTTTTGGAAGCCAGAAATAAGCCCGGCATCTGTGCAGCGACACCAGGGAATTTCAGTAAAAACCCAAACTCCAGCCCAGGCAGCCCCACTGCCTCCTCCCGCACCACGGGGCGCCAAGGCCGGCGCTCTTTGGCTTCTGCTCCACAGTCCCTGCTGGGCACTGGGCTGCTTCTCCCAGTTCCTCTTGCCTCCTCCCACTTAAGGCAAATCCACTGCCTCCCTGGGGTCCAGGAGAGTCGACGTGATCCACCCTAGGCGCCTCTCATTTCCGTGAGTACCAAACCCCCACCACCTCCCCCAGCAGGCCAAGCCTGTGCACCCGAGAGACTCCCCCACCCCCACTGTTCTCTCCAGTGGCTCTTTACCTCTTCAGTATCCACGTCTTCATTATCCTTCCCCTACTGCCTCCCCTAAGCCCCCAAACACCAAATATAAACAGCGTGACAGCAAAAACTTTTCAGTCATGACTGCATTCTGTGTGTGGGGGGGGAGGGGGCAGAGAACAGGGTTTCACTCTGTTGCCCAGGCTGGAGTGCAGTGGCACAGCCATGGCTCACTGCAGCCTTGAACTCCTGGGCTCAAGTGTTTCTCTCACTTCAGCTTCCCAAGTAGCTGGGACCACAGGTGGATGCCTACACCCAGCTAATTCCTCCCTCCTTTCCTTCCTTCCTTGCCTCCTTGCTTTCCTTCTTTTCATCCTTCTTTTCCTTCCTTCCTTCCTTCTGTGGATATAGATCTCCCTATATTGCCCAGGCTGGTCTCAAACAAACAACCTGTGTTCAAGGAATCCTCCTGCCTCAGCCTCCCAAAGTGCTAAAATTACAGGCCTGAGCCGCCGCACCCAACCTACTGCTGTACTTTCCACAGCTAGAGATATCATGTACATATCATCAAATTCACCCATGTTAAGTGTACAATTCAATGAGCTTTAGAACATTTGCATGACCCTAGTAAAATCCTTCATGTTCATTTAAACTTAATCTTGGGCCAGGCAGGTGGTTCATGCCTGTAATCTCAGCACTTTGGGAGGCCAGGGCAGGTGGATTACCTGAGGTCAGGAGTTTACCTGAGACCAGCCTGGCTGTCATGACAAAACTCACCTCTACTAAAAATACAACAATTGGCCAAGTGTGGTGGCGGGTGCCTGTTACCCCAGCTACTCTCCTGAGTCAGTCTCCTGACTGAGCCATGAGAGCCACTTGAACCTGGGAGGTGGAGGTTGCAATGAGCTGAGATCACGCCACTGTACTCCAGCCTGGATGACAGGACAAGACCCGGCCTCAAAAAAAAAAAAACAAAAAAAAACCCCGGCTGGGCGCAGTGGCTCACGCCTGTAATCCAAACACTTTGGGAGGCTGAGGCGGGCAGATCACAAGGTCAGGAGTTCGAGACCAGCCTGGCCAACATGGTGAAACCCTGTCTCTACTAAAATGCAAAAAATTAGCTGGGCGCGGTAGCGCATGCCTAAAGTCCAAGCTACTAGGGAGGTTGAGGCAGGGGAATCGCTTGAACCCAGGCGGTGGAGGTTGCTTTGAGCTGAGATGGTGCCACTGGACTCCAGCCTGGTGACGGAGCAAGACTCCATCTCAAAAAACAAAACAAAACAAACAAAAGAAAAATCCAACTTAATCTCCACTTCTACCTTCAGCCCCCAGACAACCACAGATCTACTTTCTGACTCTGTAACTTTGCCTATTCTGGACATTTCATATAAATGAAATCCTACAATACGTGTTTTGTTTGTTTGTTTGTTGAGATGGAGTCTTACTCTTGTTGCCCAGGCTGGAGTGCAGTGGCACGATCTTGGCTCACTGTGACTTCTGCGTCCCACGTTCAAGAGATTCTCCTGCCTCAGCCTCCCAAGTAGCTGGGATTACAGGCATACGCCATCACATCCGGCTAATTTTGTATTTTTAGTAGAGATGGGGTTTCTCCATGTTGGTCAGTCTGGTCTCGATCTCGAACTCCCAACCTCAGGTGATCCGCCCGCCTTGGTCTCTCAAACTGCTGGGATCATAGGCGTGAGCCACCGCACCCAACCAATATACGATCTTTTATGTCTGGCTCGTTTCACTCAGCATCAGGTTGTAGCATGTATGGGTAGCTCATTCTTTTTTATTACCAAATAGAATTCCAGTATATGGATGTGCCACTTTTTAAAATCACTCACCAGCGGATGGGCTGCCACTGTTGGCAATCGTATCCAACACTGCTGTAAACATTTAGGATCGAGTCTTTATGTGGACCTTTAAATGGACCTGTGTTTCCATTTCTCTTAAGTAAATACCTACAGTGGAATTATTGGATCGCGTGGCGAATTTATGTTTAACTTTTTAAGCAACTGCCACCTGCTTTCCAAAGCGGTGGCACCACCTCCCATTATTCTCATCAGCAATGAACGAGGCCCCTGTTTCTCCAGATCCCCGCCAACCCTTGGCATTGTCTGACTTTTTGTTTGTGGCCATTCTAGTGGATGTGAAATGATATCTCATTGTGCGCCGTCATTGAATGAACTAACAGGTCACCTGTGAAGCTGCACAGCGCTTGGGTTTGAACCCTGGTGGCAATGTTTCACAAGCTTCATCACAGAGAGAGTCACTTCCCCACTGCAAGGGACAAGGATTTTATGACCTAGAAGCAAAATATCTGCTATGGATTATGTGCCCATGAAAATGCAGCTGCTGTCATCATTGCTGCCACCACCACTATTATTATTTTATTATTTTTATTGTCACCCTAGAGATAATCCTGCACCAGTGACAGGGAAAATAGCAGCTGACATCCGCTGTGCACTCACTACCACATGCCAGCCTTCCTTCAAAGCACTCGATGTGTATTAGTAATCTTTTAATCTACCTACATATTGTTTTAATCTTCATGCGTGAATGCATTGGCCTGTGAGATAGGCACTATGACAGTCTGTTCTGTAGGGGGAAAAGCAGAGACACAGAGAATGTAAGTCATTTCTCCCAAATGACAAAGTCGGGAAGGAACAGATCTCATGGAGCCCAGCTCTGTCACTGCATCACACTTCCTGCCCTTACAAGGCAAACTGGACAAGTGCCATTTTAGAGAAGCAGACAAAATTCAAGTGGAGGAGAGGGGAGGGGAGCAAGACGTCGGCTGGGGCCTGTTTAGAGCATCCCAGGCTGAGGCTGCGGGAGGAGGGAGGTACGCAGTTGTGGAATGTGTTGCTTTTTTTGCATACCGACCAGCCCTGGCTGCGGAGCTCAAGGCATCTTTGTGCCACTGTTCAACAGTGAGTGACGTCATGAGCACGGCCAGGTCTTTATCACTTCTGCTGGATAAATAGCCAACCGCACTGGGTCTGGAGAGACAGGAAGGTGCTGTGCGGCAGATACCTGGGGCCTCAAAGAAGCAGGTGAGCCTGGGCCTGAGGGGCTGGGTGGAGGAGCACCTGGGTGCTTCTCTGCTGGGGAAGGAAGGGGACAGGGCATGCTCAGGAAGACAGGCAGGCTGACCCTGCCTGGAAAGCACCTGGAGGCAAGAGGGGTGGGCGTGGTGGCCACTTGGTCTTTTGGGTGAGATGCTGCTGGCCAGGGCAGGAAGGCTCCCCACTACCAGCTCCATGTCACTCTCTCTCACCAGTGGCCACCAGCATGGGTGCAGGCCCTGACGGGTCCTACTTCCCTGGCAATCACTGGCTCGCCTTCTCTGTGTACCTCCTCACCTTCCTGGTGGGGCTCCCCCTCAACCTGCTGTCCCTGGTGGTCTTCATGGGCAAGCTGCGGCGCCGCCCGGTGGCCGTGGACGTGCTCCTGCTCAACCTGACAGCCTCGGACCTGCTCCTGCTGCTGTTCCTGCCCTTCCGCATGGTGGAGGCGGCCAGTGGCATGCACTGGCCCCTGCCCCTCATCCTCTGCCCGCTCTCTGGATTCATCTTCTTCACCACCATCTATCTCACAGCGCTCTTCCTGGCAGCCGTGAGCATTGAGCGCTTCCTGAGCGTGGCCTACCCGCTGTGGTACAAGACCCGGCCGAGGCTGGGACAGGCGGGTGTGGTGAGTGTGGCCTGCTGGCTGCTGGCCTCTGCTCACTGCAGCGTGGTCTATGTCATGGAATTCTCGGGGGACACCTCTCACACCAGGGGAACCAATGGGACCTGTTACCTGGAGTTCCGAAAAGACCAGCTGGCCATCCTGCTGCCCGTGCGGTTGGAGATGGCCGTGGTCCTCTTCATGGTCCCCCTGCTCATCACCAGCTACTGCTACAGCCGCCTGGTGTGGATCCTCGGCAGGAGGGGCAGCCACAGGCGGCAGAGGAGGGTGGCAGGGCTGGTGTCGGCCACGCTGCTCAACTTCCTCGTCTGCTTTGGGCCCTACAACATGTCCCATGTCGTGGGCTTTGTCCAGGATCAAAGCCCAACGTGGAGGATCTACGTGATGCTTCTCAGCACCCTGAACTCCTGTATCGACCCCTTTGTCTACTACTTCTCCTCCTCCGCGTTCCAAGCCGACTTTCATGAGCTGCTGAGGAGGCTGCGTGGGCTCTGTGGTCCATGGTGGCAGGAGGGCAGCGTGGAGCTGAAGGAGCAGAAGGGAGGAAAGGAGCAGGGAGAGGATCGTCTAGCTGAAATAAAGAGCAGTGAACACTCACAAGGCTCTGGAACTGGTGGCCAGGTGGCCTGTGCTGAAAGCTAGGTCCTCTGGGGCAGGAGGGTGTAGCTGGCGAGGCATCTTCAGAGTATTTCCATGCCAGGCGGGACTTGGAGTTGCGAACTGGGAATCAATGGGGCTTGGGGGTAGAGCAGGCACCCAGCCTTCCTAAGGGTGTGCACCCTAAAGCTGAGTTCTTGCTCTCACCTCCATCCCCATCCACCCACACTCTATGGATTGGGCTCTGGGAAGGGGTCAGGGTGAGCAGCTACTCTGGAGAACATTGAGTCGCCTCATAGCAGCAGGTGACTCCTGTGCTTTTCTGCTGGTGGCACAGGAGCTAAGAGCAGTGCCCGGGGTCTGAGGGGGCTGCCCAGTAAGTGGCAGGGGTGGGAGAGGGGAGAAACCCATCCTCAGGGCTGCTCCCAGCTGGTGAGTCAGGAGCATGGGAGACAGGGCTCCAAGGATGAGGCTGCATGCTGCTCCCACAGCGCCTTTTCCAGAAAAGGCCATTCCCATTGCTCAATACATTTGGGTCAGAGAACAACGACAAATTTGGATCATGAACAATGACAGAAGAAAAATTACCCAAATAAATGAGGAAGCAAGCCAAAGAGAACAACGGTCTTTCCTCCTCCTGTTTTGTTCTGGTGGTGCACTTGGGCCGGGGGGGACTGGTGGATGGAAGGAGAAAACACCAGACTCCAGAGCAAAAGGGCCAAACACCAGGACGCCTGGCTGCCGGGAGAGGATCTGGTCTGCAGGGATGCAAATAACAGCTGCCCGGTCTGCAGGACTTGGCCTGACACAGCATCTTCTATCTCTCAGTAGCCTTGTGGTAGGTACCAGCATTATCCCCAGTTTCAGATGACGGAATGGCCCAGAGAGGTGACATCTGCCTGAGATCCCGTAGCTGGTGGGTGACTAAAGTGGGACCAGAAGCTGGAGTTAGTTGGCTCTGACGCCCATGCCCCTGAATCACTCTGCGGTTCTCCAGCTGTGTATCACTTGTGGTCACCAAGCCCAGTCAAATGTGCCCAAGTCAGATGACGCCATCTGAGCAGGACACATGTAAACAGGGTGTGATAAGAAACAGAACGAAATGCAAAGCATATTGATTATTTGTGTGGGTTCAACCTTTTCCCAGTTAAAAAAAAAAAAAAGCCCTCTTGAAAAAACAAATTAAGATAATTAGCACCGTGGACTTCAGGTTTCTGCAAAGTCAGAGAGAGCTGTAGTCACCAAAATATGGCCATTCAGGAGGTTTTCATTTTCCCTGAGGGGTGGCCCATGAGAGATAGCTGGTCAGGAACTGGTCCCCGAGCAAGGCCATCTGGGAGTCGCCAGCCTCTGTTGCATTCAGTCAGCAGAATTTCAGAAGCGTTAATTGAACACCTATTGCATGCAGATGGCTGGGCTCAGAACTTTGGGGAGTTCAACACCAGGGTCTTTAAATATCTGCTTCCTGGGGCTGAGCTTGCTGGGAGAATGAGGACTGGCTATGTGTGGGGACCTAAATTTCAGGTGGAAGGAGAGGGACACTAGAGGGTTAAAGCCGTGAGCTGTCTCTCTGTCCCATGGCTCACCTGTCCATCCCCAGGGCACTCAGCCCTGGTGGCTGCAAAGAAATTGACACAAATAGGGGTCTTCACGGCTCTCGAGGGGACAAAGGTGCCATGGAATCCTGCAACTTTAGAATGAGCACTGCCACCCCAAAGCAGAGAACAGAAAAGCCGAACCCACCCCCCCGCCATCAAAAGAGAGCCATGAAGAGCTGGAGTTTTGCTCCTCCCCCAGGGTAGATAAGAGGGAATAAGAGGCAGCTTCATGGGCTTTGCTGTCCCCAGCCGTCACCCAGCCCAGTCCAGTCTGTCTAAGCAAAAGCCCGGGGGTGGGGAGGACGAAAAGCCATCAGGGTATGGGTGATCATGGGAGTGGTGGTGAGGAGCACGTTCGAGCATTTTCCGTACATCTCAGAAGCCAAGGGAGCGGGGCTGTCAGAGAATAGGAGACGCATCTGGGGCTGCCGCCTGGTGCCATCTAGCTGGGGTGTGAGAACGGCAGAGGAGGTGGGAGAGGACTGTGGGGGATGCGGCAGCTGGCACCCTCTCCATCAGGCAGAACAAGCAGTTGTGAGTCTCCCATGGATAAGGTGATCACAGGCAAAAAGGAGTGAGATGACGTCTTTGGAGGGAGGTGGTGATAGGCCGAGACCCCAGTGCTGTCTCCGCTGAAGCCTGGTGACCAGAACTGCCAGGAGGCCACACAGAGAGAGGCTTATGATGGAGGACCTGAAGTTGGAAGGGGCAGAGTGGTCAGGTGACCTGCATACACCTGAGAAAACAGATGTGGAGAGTCTGTGCTGTCATTCTTAGGAGGGAAACAGAGACAGAGACAGATTCATGGAGCAGAGCTGGCTTCTCATCAGCAGATGTGGACACACCTGGGAGAGCGTCCAGAGAGGTTAGAAATCTTCCTTAGGTCCTTCTAGGAGGCCCAAGCGACTCCACCGGGGAGCTGAACAGCCGGCTGGATTCCCAGGGCTGAGAGAAGGAAGCTGCGCAGCTGACCACGCTGCATCCCCTGTGCCTCAGGGAGGGACACCCAATGTCACCAGCGGAGGCTGTGCCTATCCCTTGCCTTCCTCCTCCTCCTTCCGCCAGCCCTGGAAAGGTCTGGAGCCACCACCATGGAGTTAGAGGGGAAGGGGAAGGAGAACACAGGGGCCCCCTCCTCACGAAAACTAAAACAAGCCCACAGCCTGTGCAGAGCCACACCTGAACGTGATCACACCTTATTCCATACACCCACTGCCATGTGGAGATGGTTTGGTGGATGCAGTCACAGGGCACCCTGTGTTGTCGGGGTGAGCCAATGAGGCTGGGGGCCTGCCCATGGGTGCAAGAGGATGGGGAGACCTGGCCCCAGTGCAGGTGTAAACAGGCAGGAGGGCTGGGGAGGGAATAGCGCTGTGGCCGAGCCCCAGCCCTGCTCCTGCAAGGCACTGGCTACACGCCCGGCTCCTACCCAGACAGGCACCGATTCCTCCCTGGCCCTTCTGTGTTCCTGCATCTTCCTAGCTCCTCATCTCCTCTGGTGCGGCCTCAGCTCCAGCCTGGATGCCCCATTAGCTGCTCACCCAAGCTGCTAGAACCTCAGGCTAATGGCCCTGCCACCCGCCCTCCTCCCCTTCCGGCTCACTGCCCATCCCAGGCATCCTCCCTCAGCCTGCTGAGGGGACTGCTGACCTCAGAGACATCTGGCAGCGCCAGGAGGGGGGTTTCTCCTTCTGTGACTCCTTTCTTCACCTGACTATTCCCCAAACTCCCAGATCCCCCTGCCCAGGTGGCCCTGAGGACTGCTGAGCTCAACTGTGACATGGACGCGGCCCAGCTGACCCTTGGGCTTTCCCTGGGGGACCCCCTTTTCCTGCCCCTGGCCACAACCCCCACCTCATTCACACCTTTCTCCTTCCCACTGTCCTGCCGGCTTTCCACTGAGGGAAGTGGGCTCAGGAGTCAAACTCCCATTCCCAGGGAAGACTCAGGCTGTGGGCCCAGCCCTCTTCTGAATTCTCTTCAACCCTCCTCCCCACAGTCTCAGAAATCAAGAAGCCTCCCTTCCTCTGGGACCCTCGCGATGTCCTATCTCCTGTGATCCTGTGGGTGCACCTCTGCTTTTTTTTTTTTTTTTTTGAGACGGAGTTTCGCTCTTGTTACCCAGGCTGGAGTGCAATGGCGCCATCTTGGCTCACCGCAACCTCCACCTCCTGGGTTCAGGCAATTCTCCTGCCTCAGCCTCCTGAGTAGCTGGGATTACAGGCATGCGCCACCATGCCCAGCTAATTTTTTGTATTTTTAGTAGAGACAGGGTTTCACCATGTTGACCAGGATGGTCTCGATCTGTTGACCTCATGATCTACCCGCCTTGGCCTCCCAACGTGCTGGGATTACAGGCTTGAGCCACGGCGCCCGGCCGCTCCTCTGCTTTAAGAGGTGATATGGTGGAGAGGAAGCTCAGGACTGGGGGCCACAGGTCCCAGCTTCTCGTCTAGGCTCCGCTGCTCCCTGGCTGCCGCCTCCCTCTGTGGGCCTCCGTTTCCTCGGTGATCCCACTAGGCAGGGCCGGAACCCGCGAGTGATCCCAGGAGCCCCTCCTTTCCGGGGCCTCAAGATCTGAGGACAGGGAGCCTGTTGCACACAGGAGCCGTGTAGACAGGACGGCGGCCCCATGGACCTGCCCCTGCAGCTCTCCCTCGCCCTCAATGGGACCCCTTGGCTTGTTTCACTGAGCGTAATATTTTACAGATTCATCCATGATGTAGTACGGCAGTCTCCAAACTTTTTGGCATCAGGGACTGGTTTCGTGGAAAACTATTTTTCCGCCGACCTCAAGGGAGTGGGGGATGATTTGGGAATGAAACTGTTCCACCTCAGATCCTCAGGCGTTATCGGGATTGCCATAAGGAGCGAGCAACCCAGAGCCCTCGCCTGTGCAGTTCACAATAGGGTTTGAGAATCTAACGCTGCCGCTGATAGGACAGGAGGCGGAGCTCGGGCGCTGGTGCTGGCTTGTCTGCCCACTGCTCACCTCCCGCTGCGTGGCGGGGTTCCTAACAGGCCACTGCCCTGCACGGGTCTGCGGCCCGGGCTGGGGACTTCTGATGTAGTAGGTATAGACAGCTTATTCCTTTTTGTGGCCAAATAGAATTCCAGTGTATGGATGTGCCACTTTTTTTATCCATTCATTAGCAGAAGGGCCTCCAGGTGAATTTTCCACTTTGGGTTACTTTTCTTTTTCTTTTTTATACTTTAAGTTCTAGGATACATGTGCAGAATGTGCAGGTTTGTTACATATGTGCACATGTGCCATGGTGGTTTGCTGTACCTGTCAACCTGTCGTCTAGGTTTTAAGCCCCACATGTGTTACATATCTCTCCTAATGCTCTCCCTCCCCTTCCCCCCACCTCCCTACAGGCCCCGGTGTGTGTTGTTCCCCTCCCTGTGTCCATGTGTTCTCGTTCTTCAACTCCACTTATGAATGAGAACATGCGCTGTTTGGTTTTTGTTCTGGTGTTAGTTCGCTGATAATTACTTTTGGTTCTTATGATGAATGCTGCTGTGAACATTGAGGACTGAGTCTTTGTGTAGACAAATGTTTTCACTTGTTCTAAATAAATACCTATGGTGGAATTATTGGATCACATGGTAAACTGATGTTTAACTTTTTAAGAAACTGCCACCTGTTTTGCAAAGCAGCTGCACCATCTGTCATTCTCACCAGCAATGAGAGGCCGAGGCCCCTGCTTCTCCACACCCTCGTCAACAATTGTCTGCCTTTTGCTTGTAGCCATTCTAGTGGGTGTGAAATGGCATCACTGTGCTCCAAAAGTATTTGAATGATGAAATAAATTACCTCTGCAGCTGGAGAGCACTTGGGTTTGAAATGTATCCTAACCAGATTGAAATGCTGAAAATGACAGATCTAGAATTCAGAATGTGAGTGGCAAGGAAACTCAGCAAGATCCAAGAGAAAGTTGAAATCCAATATTAAAAAGGCATAAAAATGAACCAGGCTGTGAACCAAAGCACAGGAAAGAGTCAAACAGAACTTCTGGAAATGAAACATTTGCTACAGGAATTTCAAAATACTGCTGGAAACTTTAACAATAGACTAGATCAAGCAGAAGAAAGAATTTCAGAGAAAGAATACCAGTCTTTTGAATTAACGCAGTCACACAAAAATAAAGAAAAATAATTTTAAGAAATGAACAAAAGCTTTGAAAAGTATAGGATTATGGGACATGACCAGACCTATGGCTTATTGGCATTCCTCACCCAGAAGAAAAAAATAAGCAACTTGGAAAATGCATTTGAAGGTATAATTCAGGAAAATGCCCCCAATGTTGCTAAAGGGTCAACATGCAGATATAAGAAATTCAGAGAATTCCTGAGAGATGCTAATACAAAATCACCATCCCCAAGGCCACAGTCATGAGACTACCCAAGGTCAACATGAAAGAAAAACATCTAGAAGAAAGCTAGAGAAAAGAGCCAAATTACCTGTAAAGAGGGTCCACTCAGAGTAACAGTGGACTTCTCAGCAGAAGCTTTACAATTCAGAAGAGATTAGGTGCCTATTTTTAGGCTTCTTTCTTTTTTTTTTTTTTTTTTTGAGATGGAGTCTCACTCTGTGGCCGAGGCTAGAGTGCAGTGGGGGGATCTCAGCTCACTGCAACCTCTGCCTCCCGGGTTCAATCAATTCTCCTGCCTCAGGCTCCCGAGTAGCTGGGATTACAGGTGTGCACCACCATGCCTGGCTAATTTCTTTGTATTTTTAGTAGAGACAGGGTTTCACATCTTGGCCAGGCTGGTCTCAAATTCCTGACCTTGTGATCCATCCACCTCAGCCTCCCAAAGTGCTGGGATTACAGGCATGAGCCACTGTACCCGGCCTTTTAGGCTTCTTTTTAAAAAAAATGCCAGCTAAGAATTTCATGTCCTACCAAACTAAGCTTCACAAAGGAGAAAGAGACTCATCTCACATATAATGGCATCCAAACCCTCAAAGGGATGGAGAAAGATCTCTCATGCAAATGGAAAACAAAGGGTTGCTGTTTTTGTATAAGATAAAACAGACTTCAAACCAACAATAGTAAAAAAGCACAAACGAGCACTTCCTCATGATAAAGGGTTCAATTAAACAAGAAGATTTAACATCCTAAATATATATTCACTCAACACTGGAGTACCTAGATTTATAAAACAATAACTACTAGACCTAAGAAAAGAGATGGATAACAGTAATAGTGGGGTCTTCAACAGACCATTGACAGCACTCGACAGATCACTGAGGCAGGAAACTAACAAAGAAATTCTGGACTTAAGTTGGACATGCATTCAAATGGACCTAAGAGACATCTGTGGAATACTCCACCCAGCACCCGCAAAATGTAAGTTCTTCTCATCTGCACACAGAACATACTCTAAGATTGACTCAATGCTTAATCATAAAGCAAATCTCCATAAATTTAAAGAAATGAAAATCACACCAACCATCTTCTCAGACCATAGTGGAATAAAAATAGAAATCAATACCAAAAGGAATTCTCAGAATTACACAACTACTTGGAAACCAAACAACTAGTTCCTGAATGACTTTGGAGTAGGTTATTAAGGCAGAAGTTAAAAAATTAGGGCAGAAGTCAAAAAATTCTTTGAAACAACTGAAAATAGAGACACAGCATGCCAAAATCTCTGGCATACAGCTAAAGCAGTATTGAGAGAAAAGTTTATTTCACTAAATGCGTACATCAAGAAGTTAGAAAGATCTCAGATTAATAACCTAACGTTACACTTAAAGGAACTAGGAAAACTAAATCCAAAGCTAGCAGAAGAAAAGAAATAACTAAAATCAGAGGAGAACTAAATAAAATTGAGACCAAAAAGCCATTCAAAAGATCAATGAAATGAAACATTGGTTATTTGAAAGAATAAACAAGATTTATAGGCTGCAACCTAGATTAACAAATTAAAAAAAAATCCAATTAAGCACAACCAGAAATAACACAAGCAACATTATAACTGATCCCACAGAAATACAAACGATCCTCAGAGACTGCTATGAACATCTATATTCACATGAACCAGAAAATCTAGAGGAAACAGATAAATTCCTAGAAACACACAACCAAGATTGAACCAGAAAGAAATTGAAACCCAGAACAGACCAATGATGAATTACAAAATTGAATCAGTAATAAAATATCTACCAACTTTAAAAAGCCCTTGACTGGATGGATTCACGGTCAAACTCTACCAGACCTGCAAAGAAGAGATGGTACCAATCCTACTGAAACTATACCAAAAAATTGAGGAGGAGAGTTTCCTCCCTAACTCATTCTACAAAACAGTCTCATTCTGCTATCAGAATCTGGCAGGACACAGTGAAAGAAGAAAACTCTAGGCCAATAGCTGATGAACATAGATGCAAAAACCCTCAACAAAATACTAGCAAACCAAATCCAGCAGCATGACAAAATCATAATTCAGCATGATCAAGTGGGCTTTATTCCTGGAATGCAAGGATGGTTTGGTATGTCCAAATTAATAGATGTGACTCACCACATAAACAAAATTAAAAATGAAAATTTTATGATCATCTCAACAGATGCAGAAAAAATATATATAATAAAATCCAACATCCTTTAGTGATAAAAACCCTCAAAAAAGTAGGTGTCAAAGGAACATATCTCAAAATTATAGGCACCATCTATGACAAACTCACAGCCAACATCATACTGAATGGATAAACTTTGGAAGCATTCCCCCTAAGAAATGGAACAAGACAAGGATGTCTACTCTCACTACTCCTGTTCAGCATAGTTGTGGAAGTCCTAGCCAGAGCAATCAAGCAAGGGAAAGGAATAAAAGTCATCTACGTAGGAAGAGGAAGTTAAATTATCTCTGTTCACTGATGTTGTGATTCTATACCTAGAAAACCCTATAGATTCCTCCAAAATACTCCTACACCTGATAAATGACTGACAAAGTTTCAGGATAAAAAATTGTTGTATAAAAATCAGTAGCATTTCTATATGCCGACAATTGTCAAGCCAAGAGCCAAATAAAGAACACAAATCCCAATTACAATAGCCACAAGCAAAAATAAAATACCTAGGAATACATCTAACCAAAGAAGTGAAAGTGAAAGATCTCTACAAGGAGAACTATAAAACACAACTAAATGAAAAACATGCCATGTTCGTGGATTAGAAGAATCAATATCACTAAAATGTCCATACTGCTTAAAGCAATCTACAGATTCCACATAATTCCTACCAAATCATCAATATCATTTTTCATAAAATGAAATCTTTCTACCAAAAAGACACCTGTATGCATATGTTTGTCACAGCACTACTGACAATAGCAAAATGATGGAATCGACCGAGGTCCCCATCAATGGCATGTATACAGCATGAAATACTATGCGGCTATAAAAAAGAATGAGACCATGTCCTTTGCTGGACGTAAATGCAGCTGGAGGCCTAAGTGAATTATTCTAAGTGAATTAACACAGAAGCAGAAAATCAAATGCTATAGGTTTTCACTTTTTTTCTTTGAGACGGAGTTTCGCTGTTGTTACTCAAACTGGAGTGCAATGGCACGATCTTGGCTCACCGAAACCTCTGCCTTCTGGGTTCAAGCAATTCTCCTGCCTCACCCGCCCGAGTAGCTGGGATTACAGGCATACACCACCATGCCCAGCTAATTTTTGTATTTTTAGTAGAGACGGGGTTTCACCCTGTTGACCAGGATGGTCTCGATCTCTTGACCTTGTGATCCACCCACCTCGGCCTCCCAAAGTGCTGGGCGTGAGCCACCGCGCCCGGCTGAGGTTTTCACTTTTAAGTGAGAGAACGCACAAACATTAAAGATGGAAACCATAGACAATGGGGACTCCAAAGCGGGGTAGGAGGGCAGAGGACAAGGGGGAGAAAGCACCTGTTGGGTACCATGTTCACGATTTCGGTGGTGGGCTCAATGGAAGCCCCAACGTCAGATTCTGCAATGTGCCCACGTAACAAACCTGCACATGTGCTCCCGAATCTAAAGTAAATATTTTCAAGAAGCAACTGACCTGATTAACATTTTAGTCTCACTGTGCATATGTCTTAATATGCATGTGTTCATGCTTTGAAATACGAGTTGGGGGCTTTGATGATCCCTGTTCTGGAGGAGAGAAAGCAGAGATGCATCACCTCCCCCAAATCACAAACTCGGAAAGGACAGACACATCACTTTCCCCTAAATCACAAAGTCGGGAAGTGACAGAGCCCAGTCTCTGTCACTGCCTCACGCTTTGTGCCCCGACAAGGCAAACTGGACAAGTGCCATTCTAGAGAAGTAGACAAAATTCAAGTGGAGGAGAGGGGAGGGAAGGCAATCAGCTCAGGCCTGCTCCGGCATCCCAGCTGAGGCTGTCGGAGGAGGGAGGCACACAGTTGTGGATTTTGTTCCCCTTTTTGCATACTCATCAGCCTGGCAACAGAGTTTTGTGCCACTGTTCAACAGTGAGTGATGTCATGGGCACCGCCCGGTCTTTATCACTTCTGCTGGATAAATAGCCAACCGCACTGGGTCTGGAGAGACAGGAAGGTGCTGTGCGGCAGATACCTGGGGCCTCAAAGAAGCAGGTGAGCCTGGGCCCGAGGGGCTGGGTGGAGGAGCACCTGGGTGCTTCTCTGCTGGGGAAGGAAGGGGACAGGGCATGCTCAGGAAGACAGGCAGGCTGACCCTGCCTGGAAAGCACCTGGAGGCAAGAGGGGTGGGCGTAGTGGCCACGTGCCCTTTTGGGTGAGATGCTGCTGGCCAGGGCAGGAAGGCTCCCCACTACCAGCTCCATGTCACTCTCTCTCACCAGTGGCCACCAGCATGGGTGCAGGCCCTGACGGGTCCTACTTCCCTGGCAATCACTGGCTCGCCTTCTCCGTGTACCTCCTCACCTTCCTGGTGGGGCTCCCTCTCAACCTGCTGTCCCTGGTGGTCTTCGTGGGCAAGCTGCGGCGCCGCCCGGTGGCCGTGGACGTGCTCCTGCTCAACCTGACAGCCTCGGACCTGCTCCTGCTGCTGTTCCTGCCCTTCCGCATGGTGGAGGCGGCCAGTGGCATGCACTGGCCCCTGCCCCTCATCCTCTGCCCGCTCTCTGGATTCATCTTCTTCACCACCGTCTATCTCACAGCCCTCTTCCTGGCAGCCGTGAGCATTGAGCGCTTCCTGAGCGTGGCCTACCCGCTGTGGTACAAGACCAGGCCGAGGCTGGGACAGGCGGGTGTGGTGAGTGTGGCCTGCTGGCTGCTGGCCTCTGCTCACTGCAGCGTGGTCTATGTCATGGAATTCTCGAGGAACTCCTCCCACAGGCAGAATGCCATTGAGACTTGCTACATGGAGTTCCAGGCGGACCAGCTGGCCATCCTGCTGCCTGTGCGGTTGGAGATGGTCGTGGCCCTATTTGTGGTCCCCCTGCTCATCACCAGCTACTGCTACAGCCGCCTGGTGTGGATCCTCGGCAGGGCAGGCAGCCGCCGACGGCAGAGGAGGGTGGCAGGGCTGGTGGTGGCCACGCTGCTCAACTTCCTCGTCTGCTTTGGGCCTTTACATATGTCCCATGTCATGGGCTTTGTCCAGGGTGAAAGCCCGGCATGGAGGATCTACGTGATGCTTCTCAGCACCCTGAACTCCTGTGTCGATCCCTTTGTCTACTACTTCTCCTCCTCTGCGTTCCAAGACGACTTCCACAGGCTTCTGGGGAGGCTGCGTGGGCTCTGTGCTCCGTGGCGGCAGGAGGGCAGCGTGGAGCTAAAGGAGCAGAAAGGAGGGGAGGAGCACAAGGAGGATCTCACAGAAGAAAGGAGGAGTAGTGGACTGTAGCAGGGCTGTGGAAAGGATGGCCAGGTGGCCTGTGCTGGAAGCTAGGTCCTCTGGGGCAGGTGGGTGTAGCTGGCGTGTCATCCTCAGGGTCCTTCCTCGCCCGCACAAGGCGGGACTTGAGTGGTGAGCTGGGAATCAATGGGGCTTGGGGGTGGAGCAGGCGCCCAGCCTTCCTAAGGGTGTGCGCCCTAAAGCTGAGCTCTTGCTCTCACCTCCATCCCCATCCACCCACACTCTATGGATTGGGCTCTGGGAAGGGGTCAGGGTGAGCAGCTGCTCTGGAGAACACTGAGGTCCTCATAGCAGCAGGCGACTCCTGTGCTTTTCTGCCAGTGGCACAGGAGCTAAGAGCAGTGCCCGGGGTCTGACCACCTTAGGCAATGTAGCAAGACTCCTTTCTCCAAGGAAAAAAAAAAATTAGCTGGGCATGGTAGCACATGCCATAGTCCCCGCTGCTCATGAGGCTGAGGTGGGAGGATCGCTTGAGCCCAGGAGGTTGAGGCTACAGTGAACTGTGATTGTACCACTGCACTCCAGCCTGGGCAACAGAGCAAGACCAAGAAAAAAGAGAAAGGAAGGGAAGTGAAAGGGAAGAGATGGGGAGGAGAGGGGAGAGGGGAGGGGAGGGGGAGAGAAGGGAAGGGAGGGGGAGAGGAGGGGAGAGGGGAGGGGAAGAAAGGGAGGAGGGAGGGAAGGGAAGAAGGGAAGGAGAGGGGAGGGGAGGGGAGGGGGAGGGTTAACTGTGGGCATTAACTGCCCCTTAATCTGTGTGTAATTAAAAATAGATATAAATATGAATGCAAAAGTGCCGTAAACTGCTACTCTTAGCGCATTGCCTGTGGGGTAGTCCTGCTCTGCCGGGCCAATCACAGAGCTGTTGCACTGCCGGAACCGTAACACTGCACTTCAATAAAGCCATCTTCTTCTACCACTGGGTAGCCTTTAAATTCTTTCCCCGGCGACCTGGGCACAGTGGCTCACACCTGTAATCCCAGCACTTTGAGAGGCTTAGGCAGGCAGATCATTTGTGATCAGGAGTTCGAGATCAGCCTGGGCAACATGGTGAACGGTCTCTACTAAAAAATACAAAAATTAGCCAGGTGTGGTGGCCCGAGCCTGTAATCCCAGCTACTCAGGAGGCTGAGGCAGGAGAATCACTTGAACCCAGGAGGCAGAGGTTGTAGTGAGCCAAAATTACATCACTGTACTCCAGTCTGAGTGACAGAGTGAGACACCATCTGAAAAAAGAATTTAAATTAAAATAAATAAATAAAGAATTTCCTGGGTAAAGCCAAGAACCCTCCCAGGCTAAGCTCTAATTTAGGGCTCACTGCCCTACATCAGAAGGGAGGCAAAGACCAGACGAGGAGAGCAAGAAGCCTGGGAGTCTGCAAAATTAGCTGTAGGACTCTTCCAAAACACAAGGAAGCTGAGCATTGATAAAAGCCAAAGGACGCCTGGAAGAAAAGTGCAGTCATTTTTTCTGGAAATTAGAAGTGGGACAGCAAGGTTTTTATTTGGGGGGAGAATAGTGTGAGAAGGTGCTCACCTTTTGACCTTCCTCTCTGAGGACATGATTCTTCTGGTTTAGAAAACAACAGTAAAAAGTCCCCAAGAGCTACAGGTAGTTGTGGTTCCCAAAACTTCGAAACTTCTGTGGGAATCCTTCTGACTTTCCTTTGAGGCCAGTTCTGAAAAGCCATTCATACAGAGGCAAATCAAAATATCTAGGCCACAGCCTGTATTCTGAGAAAATGATGCTGGGATCACATTCCAGAGAAAAGATGGAATGGAAGGAAGGAAAAGCTGATCAACATGCCTGGGCATGGTGGCTCACGCCTGTAATCACAGCACTTTGGGAGGCTGAGGCAGGCAGATTACCTGAGATCAGGAGTTCGAGACTAGCCTGGCCAGCATGGTGAAACCCCATCTCTACTAAAAATACAAAAATTAGCTAGGTATGATGGCACATGCCTGTAATACCAGCTACTGGGGAGGCTGAGACAGGAGAATTGCTTGAACCTGGGAGAAAGAGATTGCAGTGAGCAGAGATTGCCGCTCTGCACTCCGGCCTGGGCAACAGAGCGAGACTCTGTTTCAAAAACAAAAAATTCTCATACTTATTATGCGCTCTTGGATGCCATAGAAACAAGAAGGCTGAAAGACTGGGATGTGGACCATGAGCAGTGTCATCCTGTGGAACAGTACTTGTCTCTGTTCAGTGTTCCTGGGCACTGGAGAGCCACCCAGGCCTTGTGCTCATGGAGTCACTCAAACACACACAATGCGCACGTGAAGATGGGGATACGTGGTCCTGGATGCCTAATTTACTACTTACAATTAATGCACACAATTAGATTATTCCTGTCCCCTTCTTTTTTTTTTCTTTCTGTGGCAGGGTCTGGCTGTCACCCAGGCTGGAGTGCAGTGGTACAATCATGGCTCACTGCAGCCTCAATTTCCCAGGCTCAAGAAATCCTCCTGCCTCAGCCTCCCAAGTAGCTGGGACTATAGGTGAATGCCACCATGCCTAGTTAATTTTTTTAAAAGAGGCTTTTTTCGTAGAGATAGGGTCCTGTTACATGACTCAAACTCCTGGGCTCAAGTGATCCTCTTGCCTCAGTCTCCCAAAGTGCTGGCATGACAGGCGTGAGCCACTGCACCTGGCCTTGATAATTTCCAGTAGTTCTCTAAGCTTAGAGCGCTTACCCTCATCTTTGTTTTTTTTGTTTTTTTGTTTTTTGTTTTTTTTCAAACTGTCTGGAAAGCTCCCTTAAAGCTGTCATAAAAATAACTCTTTCTTTGTGTATCCCGTGGTAACCAATCCAATGGTTTGCAGGGGCACTGCCAGGCATCCCCAGCCAGTGCAGGTCAGCAGACCACTTCCCTGGCCCACGCTTGCTGGTCTGTTCGTTCACTCTGCAGTGAACCCTTCTGCTTACAGCTTTTCCAGCTGACCTTCTTTTGATTCACAGTGTAGCCTCTGACAGAGAGCAGACCAGTGGTTGCCAGGGTCAGGGAATGGGAAAGAAAAGGGTGTTGATCGGGAAGATATCAGAGGGACATTTCTGGGTGATGGAAATGTTAGATCACTTGATTGCAGTGGGGGGACACACAAGAGGTCAAAACTTACTGAACTCTCTCCTTACAATAGATTCATTTTATGGTGTGTCAGTGAAACCCCAGTAAGGAAGTTTTCAAAAAATGGTGTCACCTCACCTCTTGGCTGGTAGCGTTTGTGTACCTAATATCAATCTTGCTAAGTTTCCTTCAGCCAAGCAGGTCTCTGCTTTTGCTGAGCTGCTCTGCAGAGGCTGTGGCTGCTGGATGATAACCTGGGTTACCCAAAAGGGTAGTAACCGTGTGCAAACAAATGAGACATGGCAACCAGCTTTTATCCTGGTGCTGGAGAACTGCACGGCGTGGTGGAAATGGTGGTGATGGGACAGCGCAATGGCTCATTTCACTTCCTGTCACCATGCGGGGCTGTGGGTGCAGCTCTGTCATACCTTCCAGTTTTTCAAGCTGAAAATCCAGTTGTTATTGCTGTTTTTGAAATCTTACGTTCTTTTCAACTGATAACAAATTGAACACCTTTAAGTATTTGTATGGGAAAGTGAATCAGGCCTGAGGATTGTGGACTGCTTACTAGGCTTCCAGCCTGTGGCCACACTGCTTCCATGGAGGTGGAGGAGGGCTGCTCAGAGGTGGGGAGGGATGGGGAAGGAGCATGAGAAAGTGTGATTCTTCGGTAAGCACAGCTCATACTTCTACTCAGAACCCAAGACAGGCAGTGGCAGAGACCTGCTGACTTTCTGAAGATGTTCTTCCTCATCCCTTGTTCTTATTTTGTGGCCCCGCCCTGCCCTTATAGCTCTTCTCTGAAAGCTGCCACCCTCATTCACAAAAAGGTCTGGAGGTCACAGGACAGTCAGGGAGGGAAGCTCCAAGGACTGATGCTGGCTCTTCCTCCTTCCCCGCCCCACCCCCAACAGCTCAGGCTCCGCCTCCCCCCCACCCCCCTCCTCTGCTGGTTTGCTGTCTCCTCTCTGCAGGCATTCTCATCCATCACAATTGCTGTAAACATCCATGACTCCCACATTTCCACCTCCAGCACCAGACTATCCAACTGTATACAGCGACTCAACTTCCAGACTTTCAAGACCAAACCCAACTCCTTACTTTGTCCCCCTAATGTAGCCCCACCACCAGCCCACTCCACATCTACAATTGGCAACACCACCCACAGTCCGCCCACACCAGAAATGCAAACACCATTCATTCATTCATTCATTTTTTTTTTTCCTTTTTTTTGAGACACAGTCACTCTGTCACCCAGGCTAGAGGGCAGTGGTGTGATCTCAGCAACCTCCGCCTCCCATGCTCAAGTGATTCTCCTGCCTCAGCCTCCTGAGTAGCTAGGATTACAGGTATGCACCACCGTGCCCAGCTAACTTTTGTATTTTTAGTAGAGAGGGGTTTCGTCTTGTTGGCCAGACTGGTCTTGAACTCCTGGGCTAAAGCAATGTGCCCACCTCAGCCTCCCAGAATACTGTAATTACAAGCATGAGGCACCATGCCCAGCCCATTCTTAATTTTTTTAGAGATTTTGATTCTTTTTTAATCTTTAAAATGGTCATACAATAAAATGAAGGTTTTCCAGAAAAGGTGCACGGTTCTGTGAATTACACAGAGAGATTCCTGTAACCACCACCGATATCAAGATAAAAAGCAATGATAGCCACATCTTCCCTTCACCCCTAGCCACTGCCAAACACTGATCTGCTATCACTAAGGTTTTATCTTCTCAAGAATGTCACATAAACAGAACCCTACAGTGTGTAAGCTTTTGAGCTGGCTCTTTTCATTCATCACAATGTCACTGAGTTTCATCCATGCCACCACGCCTGGTTAATTTTTAAAGTTTTTGTAGAGACAGGTTGTCATTATATTGCACAGGCTGGTCTCAAACTCTTAGATTCAACTGATCCTCCAATCTCAGCCTCCCAAAGTACTGCTGGGATTATAAGTGCATGCTACCATGCCCGGGAAATTTTTATATTTTTAGTATATAAAAATATAAACATCCTACTTACCACGCCCAACATCCTACTTACTTTAACTTGGAAGTTACAGTGTTACCCAGAGCCCATAAGTAAACAAACAAAAACACCATGGATATTTTGTTGCTGGTACACAAATTAATGTATTTAAATCTACCAAAGCCACTATACATTCTGTGCAATTAAAAAATTCACTTAAGGTTGGGTGTGGTAGCTCACACCTGTAATCCCAGCACTTGGGGAAGCCAAGGCAGACAGATCACTTGAAGCCAGGAGTTCAAGAACAGCCTGGCCAACATGGCAAAATGCCGTCTCTACTAAAAATATAAAAGTTTCCTGGGCATGGTGGCATGCACCTATAATTCCAGCTCCTCTGGAGGCTGAGGCAGGAGAATCACTTGAACCCAGTGGGTGGAGGTAGCAGTGAGCCGAGATCATGTCACTGCACTCCAGCCTGGGTGACAAAGTGAAACTGTTTTTCTAAAATACAAAAAGAAAAAAAGAAAGAGAAATTCACCTGAGG